TTGCGTCCAAAAATATTGCGTCCAAAAATATTGCGTCCAAAAATATTGCGTCCAAAAATATTGCGTCCAAAAATATTGCGTCCACAAATATTGCGTCCACAAATATTGCGTCCATGAATACGTACGGTTCGAGATTGCCCTCGTCTCCAGTTTGGATGAGCGACGGTCTGGTCCACGTTGAAATTCTCCGGGAAGGTTTCGTGGGGATCCGAGAGGTCATGCTCGCCGAGTCTCACCACCAGAGGCAGACTGAAACACCGGGGGAAAAAAAACTGAAATAAGCTCGTAGCAGGAATTTAAAAGTCTCGTCTCTCGCGGAGGACGAGGACTCACTTGGACTCTAGGCAATGGGCGGCCGTGAGAATCCATCGGAAGCTGATGAGGGTTCCTCCGCAGATCCACTTTATGTTCCCGTTTCGCTCTCTCTCCCCGAGAACGGCCTTGAAAAGTAAAACATAATGGAATGGAGGAATGGTAGCGGGACTGCCCCAAAACTGGGAAGGGAAAAAAAATCGTCATTGGTACTGACGTCGAATCGCACAAAATCGAAGTTTCCGTCTGGGCCCGTTGAGAAATGACCCGGAAAAATATCGCATTTTTCAACGAGGAAACGCGATTGCCATCTCGGAGCCATCAAGAGGGCCGCTCGCATTCATATTTTATACTTTATGGCACGCGAAAACCGACGAGTTAGACTGCTTCGTCTTACGTCTTGAAATGCGACCGGAAACAAATGGAAATTTTGAAAATGCGGAAAGGAAATTTAAAACCAATCGCATTTCGCGATTCCGAATGTTTTAAATTAAAATCACACCTCTATCACGCCTTGATAATGTTCCCTGTCATATCATGTGTCATGTCATGCCATGTCATAACATGCCGTGTCATGTCATGTCGTGCCATGTCATGCCATGCCGTGCCATGTCGTGCCATGTCATGCCGTGCCATGTCATGCCATGCCGTGCCATGTCATGCCTACCGTGCCTTGTGTTATGCCATGTTATGTGTCATTCATTTCATCCTCGGAAGTAGGAAATCTTGGAGCTCCGGGTCGAAATAGTTCAGTCGTACCTGTCGCATGCGAGTTGTCACCGAAAAATGAGAACCCGCAAAATGCGAGTTGTCGCGCGCTTAGGAATATTTTTGCCGCCTCCGTCAGCGAATGGACGGTAAGTCAAGACTTCAGTTCCAAGCCGTGCCGCAAAAAGGAGCCAAATGACCTTCGATATCGAGGCATGGGGGAACGGAGAGCTCCAGAAATCGCGTCGTATTGTTATGATGTGTTTCTCGCGATTTTCATTCGATGGAGGATTCTTTCCGCAATGAAGCGAGGTTTCAGCAAGAAAAGGGGATTGCTTGATGGAGGTCCAGGATGCCGGATTCGAAGATAAGCGATTCGCAAGGGAAGATCGTGGATCATAACACGCCGCATATTTTACTTCCTGTGGCATAGTGGGGGGGGGGGGAGTTTCCGCCCCCCCGCCCCCGCCCCCCTCCCCCATAGAGAATCCCTGCCACTTGTTGATGTCGATTGTTTAGAGATTTGTTTCATGTCAGAATTCAAATTAAAAGCAGGATTTCAAGTGCCTCCATCTTCGAGCAAAAATTTATCGGGACGATGAATTATATGATATGATATCCATATGATATGATATGATATTCGGATCCCATCCCATCATTTTTTTTTAAGTTCCCCGGCCGAATGTCGATATAGAGTAAATTACTTTTTCAACTGGTACGATCAATATTGCAGCTTTTAGCACACTTAGATACGATTCAAAATCTGAATTTCCCTTTTAAATGTTAAGATTGATATTTAATGAAAAGTTTCACATTCAACAAAAGTTTAAATTTTACCGCCGGGACAAATATGAAAGCGTGCGTAATGCTTCCGACCACGCCGGCGATTCATCCTCTAAACGATTTCAAATTGAAATTACAGAGTGAAGGAAATATTAATTGACGGGAGATCGAAAGCGGTTTCAATATACCATCCCACCTATACAATATGGTTATTCCGTTGGGCCGAGGGGAAGGGAAGGGGGCTGGGGGTGGGGAGATTCCTGGAAGGGCGGTGGCGGTGATGCATGTGGAATGAAAATGAAGGTCCCCGCTGCGACTGCCACCTCGGCCGGGACCCCTGCCAAGGAGCCCATGTGCATCCCGGATTCCCATGGAACGAATGGGGGGAGTAGGTCCTGCTGGAATGCGGCAAAGATTCGCGCCTCGGGCGGTGAATTTGCATGGCCCTACCCTCTTTCTCCCGCATTTTTAGGTCTCCTCTCTCTCTCTCTCCCTCTCTCTCTCTCCCTCTCTCTCTCCCTCTCTCTCTCTACACCTCTTCCGGCCGGTACCGATCCCGACCTCGGCCTGCAGGCGATGACGACGCGCGGAGAAGCGCAGTCAGACTGTGAATTATGAGTGCGGAACTGCGGGGGGGGGGGGGCAGGGGGGGCAGGAGGGGCAGGAGGGGGACGTCTGCGAAAGTTTCCCTACTTGTCTGACCCCGATTTTCGGTTGGCGGTTGAAGGGTCCGGCGGTACCAATGTGACACCATCGCGAATGATTCATTCTTGTAATTTTTTTCCCCCCTAAAAATTCCAGCATAACCGCCAATTCCGCCAATTCCAAGGCCGAGATTCACATAAGCAAACAAAAAGGAAGGAAGCAAATAAATAAAAATAATAAATAAATAAAATTACTGCAAGTATGGCAGAATATTCAGAAATGGTCACCTCGGAAAGGCATTAGGAATTAGGAGTTACGGTGCATCGCGCAAATCGATCAGCTGTAGCCAATTTCGATCGACGCATTCGCTAATAGGCTTTTAAAAAATAATAATAATAATATGTTAAACAAATTCCAAAGGCTTCTCCGATTTTTTTTTCGTCTGCCATCGTCCGGCTGCGACGTTGTTCGGTTTCGCGACGGAAATTGGCGATTCCCCAGGTCGATAATAGCCAATTTCCGTTACTGATAAATAATCCCAAACGGCACGCAAAAATATTGTCCATCGTCAATGGCGAAAGACGATTTTGCCAATATTTTTTTTTTAGCTAAGACGATCCTCAAAATCCCATTAAAAAAAAATTTATTTGCATTTTCTTGACGCGTCGCGAACGTCGCTCCTTGAATGCGCGGTCGAAATCAATTCGCAGCGAGAAAATCCCGCAATATATATATATATATTTTTTTTTTTTTCTTTATTTCTTTATTTCTTTATTTATTTATTTTTCACGTGGGAAGGAATTCCCACTCGAACTCGTTGATGACCCGGCGTCCATTCCAGTGGATATTGCAATTTCTATGGCAATTTCTATGGCAATTTCTTCGAATTCCCCTGACTTTTGCCCTCCGCATTACGCGACAATGGGCGCTTCATTCACCTATTAGTTTTGTAATCTTCAGTTATTCAATTAAAAGCATTATATTATATATGGTATGGTATGGTACATTCATACAAAATATAAAGACGACATATGAAGCATGACATTTTCCATTACAATCACGAAAGAGCTCAAAACTGCAAAAAAGAATATTATTCCGAGAGCGGCCTTGATTTAGATCTGATAGGGTTAAATCCGAAAGAACGGTTTTTATTAATATCTGCAACCTATTACGGCTTCGATTGAGGTCGGTAGGCCGAGAAGCAGATTGAGGCAGATTGAGGCAGATTGAGGAAGATTGAGGCAGATTGAGGCAGATTGAGGAAGATTGAAATCGATTGAAATTGATAGAAATTGATAGAAATTGATTGAATTATATTTAGCTATGTTGATATAGATTGAGGCAGATTGAAGGAGATTGAGGGTTCGCCTTACCAGGTGAGGGAACTCGAAAGGATCAGCTGCCTTTCCGCCGACGATGAGGCCTTGGAGGCTGTGGTCGCAGCTCCGTTTTCTGGTCTGGGTCAGCAGGGTCTTGTACTCGTCGCATTCTAAGGGATGATCGGGGGATTAGGATTAGCCGGAGCGGGGAGGGTTGCGGGGAGGGGGAGGGGGGTTGCCACTCACTGATTCGGCTGAGTCGCCTGTTTCCGGTATGGGACGAGAGGCCGTAGGGGCCGGGCGGGGTCACCGGGGCGGGGAGGGTCCGGTCGCAGCAGACGATGGGCTCGCCGGTGGGGTCGATGGAGCAGAGGCGGGATCGGAGGGCGGCCGGATTCTGCCGGAACGTGAATTCCGCTTCCGGACAGTCCTGCATCCTCTTGCATTCACCGCGATTCGGGGAGCAGGACTCCTTCGAGTCGAAGATGAAGCTCCGGCCCGAGACGAGGCCGACCGAGAGGAGGCAGAGGAGCAGTCCGGGGTGCGTCGCTGAAGGCATTCTCACGACTGCGGCGGAGCGCATCTCGGAGCGCATCTCGCATGGCCCACCGTCGTCCACTCCCAGGTCCAGGGTTGCCAGACTCAAGGTCGCTCTTGGGTCGCGGGGGAGGGTGTGTCGCTTGCGTCGCATCCTGGGATTCCAGGCGCATGACATCGCACGGAAAGTTCCAGGCGCGAGTCATCGGAAAGGTTTTTTTTTTTTTCAAGCCGATCCCCAAAATCTCTATAATCCCATTGGAATGATAATCCCCATATGGAAAAATAAAACCAGATTATCCTCCCCAAATGAGAAGATAAAACCAGATGAACCATTGCCTTCATCCCGACGTCTTCTGATCCAGCGTTTCGACCGTGAAACCTTCTGAAACACCTACTAAGGTGTTTCTAAGGTGTTTCGGCTCGCTCGAAAACCTCCGTGGACGAATTCCTTCACGTTCTCGATCGAAAAGTGACGACGATCGAAACCGGCATTAATACCTCCATGACCATCATTAATTACCATTATTTACTTAATGACCATCATTAAGTAAACCAATGACCATCATCGACAAGACTGTCGACCGTCTCGGAAGAAGACTTTCACCGATACGTTGAATCCCATAATGATCATTATCGTTCGATTTCACGACGAAACGTTCGCTTAGTGATAGGGATTTCCTACTATAGGGATTTCCTATTATAGGGATTTCCTAGTTTAGGGATTTCCTAGTTTAGGGATTTCCGCTCACTTTGAACGTGGAGCCAAAAATATTCAATGCAATGGTATCGCAATGCGTTCACGTGTCCCAATGAGGATTCATACGAGTTCAACTATGGTCCCCGGAAGGACCACGCGGCATGGGCCCTTAACGGCATGCCATTAATTATAACCTGTCGAGGCCTGTCGCAACCCAGAACGAGACCGAACAGAGTCGTAAAAAGGGCGATGAACGCGGAAGCGACGAATTTCGCGAGCGGTGATCTGCCTCCCTCCCCCAGCTGCCTCCCCTGCCCGATCTGCTTGGGGCTGGATGGCACTGAACCCGCTTTCAGGCTGCAGGCGTCAATACCGAGGAGGAAGGAAGGTTGAGGCTTGAGTGAGGGATTGGATGCGACAGACGAGCTACTTCAGCTTGGATGGAAGGCGATCCTCTCCGAGCCTGGGCCCGTTTAGGCCTCTCTCCGCTTTTTTTGTGCCTTCTCGGGTCCGAGAAAGGGGCTTTCGAACTCACGAGTGAATCCCGAATGATACTTGGTATCTCAACGCAGATGAAAGTGAACACTGCAATTAAATATCCTGTTTCACGCAGTCTTTTACTTGCACGAGAAAGGTAAATGACTTTAAATGACTTCAAATAAATGAATTTTAAATGACTTTTCCCTGAGAAAAAGGGGCTCGGGCTTCCTCGTTCCATCGATGTCGTCCAGTGTCTCCCCGCCCCTCTCGGACCAAGGGCAAGGGCGAGGGAGCGGCTCGCCCTAGAAGCCCACCCTCTCCCTTTCTCTCCCTTTCCATTCGTAACTCTAAACCTATGGCAGTGCTGCAAACGAGTTTCGGGCTTAGAATAAAATGTTTTAACCTTACATATTGGGTTTCGATAACTGCATCTAAGTCGTTTTTAAGGTTTTCATTGGAAGTGACATTACAGAGCATGCGACTCACAATCATCAATCCGCATCGTTCCTATCTGGAAGCCATGTACGCCATGCAGGCGCTGAATTTCCTGGCCGATTCGGAGGGCTCCCTCATTGCAGGGCCCAACCACGTCGAATTCCATTTTGCAGAGACGCAGAGACGGCCAGGATTCTCCACCGATCGTTCACAGCCGATCGCGGTGCGGAAGCTCCACGATATCAAGCCAGACGCAATTGAGAGAGTTTATTTATTGCCGATTCGTATCGGGGACCATATTCCTTCGTTTCAATGAACAGGTCCTTCAATACGGAAGACACTGATGTAACGTCCTTTCCAAGCAGAGGAAGGAAAAGTGACTTCGCCTTCACCGTCGGGCTTCGTGGCTCTCATTCCCTCCCCCATCCCCCTCTTCCCCCCCCCCCATCCCCCCTTTCCCCCTCCTACCCTCCTTTCCCCTCCTACCCCATCATATCCGTGAGGGAGGCCCTCCTTTAGAGGTCAGAATGCAGGTACATTTGATGGAAAATTGTATGGGGGTCGGAGAGAAAGGGAAGCCGTCTTCACTTGCCACTTGGGTGCGAGACTCCTTTTCGTGTCACCATGCACGTGCGACGAGGATGCTGGGCGACGCCCCGCTGCATCAGTCGCACGGCCGCCTTCATCAGTCGCCTGACCGCCTTCATCAGACGCATGACAGGCTTCCTCAGTCCTTCGAGTCAAACGTCTGCTCGCTTGGATTTCACTGATTTTCCTGATTTCGAAATTGGAGCCAGAAGTTTCTCCTCGACGAGAAAGGCGACCGAATGGATGAGCCAATTCCCAGCCAATATTTCATACTACCAATATTCCAATACTATATTCGTACCAATATTCCAATACTGTATTCGTCGCAAAAATCGGGAAAGTGATAATTTCTTCTGCGGCAATCTCGCGGCAGTGCGACTATCCGCAAAATTCGGTCCATTCGTCAAAACTGCACGTTCTTCCTTTTTTTGCCTTGGGACAGGCCTGTCATCTATCTTTTGGGGTGGCAAGCAAACAATTTGAATTGGTCTCTCATGCGCAACATTTTGGCACGCCGTTTTCGAAAAACGGGCGCAATTTCTTAACGTCCGCTTGCGAATCAGTAAAATTAGCGGCCATCTCTGTGGAAATGCCTTGGATTTTTGGGATCGATCTTGCCATTTTCCAGGTACTGAGGTCGAGTATTAGTAGGTACTACTTAGTAGTAGTAGTAGTACTTCGTAGTACTTAGACTTGATGTGGTACTCATATGAAGCAGATCAATGAATGGATGACATTGATATAAGGTACACATCGTTAGCTTCCTCTCTTGAGTTCAGTTTGAGAACGTTCAGCAGAATAAATATTTTTGTAATTTTTGAACTAAGAAATGGATTTAAAACCCATAAAAATAACTAAATAACAATAGCAAACAAAGGAAAGTTATTTATTAAACCCCTCTAAGTGCAGTTCATGCTTTACGAGTTTCTGATCTGATTTCCTTCAACCATACGGTAGCATATCAGTTGCGCGTTTGGCGGCTGCGAGGCGTCCGCATGTGAGGACCGGCGGTGGGAAAAATAGCGAAAGGTCACGAAGCGATCAAGTAACGGTTGTGCGCCTTTCGGAGAGAAAGTGCGCCGAAAGGTACGAATCCCGAGTCCGAGACCCCCACCGACTCCCGTTGAGAAACCGATTTTTCCCTCTCGGCGCGGAGATGGTTCCCGGCATTGAAGTCCGTCGCTCCCATGCGAGGAAATCCAGAAGTCCTTTGTGTTCCCAAGCATATCTATTCAAGAGACGCCGTTCGTGCGAAATTCGTCGAGCCAAGAGTCGAGGAATGCACTCACACCTTGAAACACCTGATAACAGGCAACAGGAAAACAGTCTCATGTCCCGTCTCCCCAGTGAACGAAAGTCCCTTCAAAGCAGATTAGGGCAATTTAAAGATTAAGATGATTTAGATATTAAGGTGATTTAAAGATTAAGACTATTTAAAGATTAAGTTGATTTAAAGATTAAGACGATTTAAAGATTAGGACGATTTAAAGATTAGGACGATTTAAAGATTAGGACGATTTAAAGATTAGGACGATTTAAAGATTAGGACGATTTAAAGAAGAGAGGATGGAGAGAGGATGGAAGGAGGATGGAGAGAGGATGGAGAGAGGATGGAGAGAGGATGGAGAGAGGATGGAGAGGATGGAGGGAGGATGGAAGGAGGATGGAAGGAGGATGGAGAGAGGATGGAGAGAGGATGGAGAGAGGATGGAGAGAGGATGGAGAGAGGATGGAGAGAGGATGGAGAGAGGATGGAGAGGATGGAGAGAATAGGGGGGGGGGACGTAATAAGTTCGTAACACCCCAATTAATGATTCCTGTCGTCTCGTCCCTTTTGGGACTGGACAATAGGGGAAATTGTGTGAATATGGCCCGACAAAATGAAACTTGGTCTTCACTGCCCATCAAAGTCGAAATTGACTTTCACAATGCTTCTAAAATATTGATTGACGTTGCCAAGGTAAGGCAATACATGGGAACCTGCTAGTGGTGATCGACCCGTGACCTCTTTTCTCAGGTACCGCCCCTAGATGTCGCTAGTGAGCCCCCGTGCATGATTATTCGGATGTACAGGGAATTAAATGAAAAGTGTTCGTCCCGAAGCTAAGATTACCAGGAGTTATCTTTAGAACCCTAAGTCGTGAAAAAAAAAGTAATGCATGCCTCCCGACCAAACACGCGGAAGACCCACAGGTGAGAACGAACTGCCTTTCGGCCGTTAGATCAGGAGAGTGCAGGAAGCACCTGGCTCGACCTTGACCTTCGACCGCTGGCTCCAGGTCCTGCCGGCAACAGCTGGCATCCACCCCGGGAATCAATTCCTGACTGACGGTGGAGGCCCTCGCGTTGGGTCGAGTGGGATCACGCGAAGGAGCCGATGAGGGAAGCAGGCTTGCAAGGCCTTCGAGTTTCGGGAACATCGGGAGGAAGCATGAGCGGTCCCCCTGAGCCACCCTACGAGAAGAGAAATTCGTTGCATGTCGATATTGCACGTCGATATTGTATGCCGATATTGTATGCCGATATTGTGTGTCGATATTGAATGTCGATATTGCACGTAGATGTTGCATGTCGATATTGCACGTCGATATTGTATGCCGATATTGTATGCCGATATTATATGCCGATATTGTGTGCCGATATTGTGTGTCGATATTGAATGTCGATATTGCACGTAGATGTTCCATGTCGATATTGCATGTTAATATTCCTGTTTCGATCACCAGGCACGAGTCTTTGCCTTCCTTCCCGGCGCAGAGCACTCGCTCATTCGTACCGTTGAGAAATATTCTTTTTATGAAGAAATACCTAGAGATCAACGCGTCACATCGAGATGGATCTTACAACGGAACAGAAACTTTCAGCAGGACCTTGCTGGTCTCCCCATCTGTAAAAAAACCAATGGACCTCCGATGGATTTATTACTCGAGTGAATCTGTCACGATGAAGGCCAGTGCAAACCGAAAGCGGTGATCCCCCATCCAGCAACGGTTACACCTTGTGGCAGCGGGACGTCGTCAGTCGCCAGACAAATTCGGTAGATTGTGGGCCGAAAGGAAACTTTCTGATCCAGTTGGAGTAGGACGACATCGTGGTAATCCTGGCAACGACAAATCATGAGCATTTTAAGTTCTGGTGTAGCTTTACATGAGAATGAGAGGCAGATCCCTCAAAATCGGATATCATGCAGTTCCTCCATAAGGTTATAATGCGTTCGTCTGCGTCAATGAATCATTCGCATCCAAACTGGGTATAAATTATTTGTGATTACATATGGTTGGGGAGCTCCTTCTTTTCCAATCTGGATGAATGACGACTTTCACTCACTTTGTAATCGTATGGGGTGGTATCGGGCTCATCATTCAGGTCGGGTCACCCGAGTCTCACAACCAAAGGTCGACTGACACACAGAAGAATATTAATCAATCAAGTAACGAAAAGTACGGCGACTCAGCAGTCATAACCCAAAAGCGCCTTGAACAAGGAACGAAAAAAAAAATATTGGTGCAGTACTTTGTGGCATCGTGGCACCAAGGTCGTGCAATGTTATGAAGGTGAATGTCCGTAATAATTAAAGTTTTCTTGCTAATCGGGGAAAAGTTGTGGGCGGAAAAGCTCAGAATTCATGCAATAGTTTTTTTTAAATACCCATATACTTCTTTATATTGAGAAACCTGCATCGCAGCTTGACAAGAGAGGAATGAAACAACAAACCAGCTGGTCGGCAGGGGCTTATCAGACGCCTCATCTCTCTTCACTCCTCTTGACGGCATCGGGTAACAGGTTTCCGGGGATCAAGTGGGCACTTGATGAATACACTCCGCCATCTTTTTGTAGAATTTGGTTGATGAGAGCAGTGGAAATGATGTCCTTGAGGTGAACCAGATGAATCCCTTCTTCTTTCTTTTTTCATTTTTTTTTTATTCCTTTTTGACAGGACCCTTGGGTCGCATTTGGCAGGAGGTTTTTGTTGTCTGTGATGGTGGAGATTCGGATATTCCTTTCCTTCGCGACCTCGCTGATCTCGTTAATTTTTTCCCCCCTCTATCCATTTGTTGTGGAAGCATTGCTTGGGCGACCGTGGAAGAAAACCTTTCCCCGAAAAAGTTTTCTTCCTGACTGTCAAGCTCTTGACTAGCTCTTTGGGATCCAAATGGCTTATCTCCTCAGTAGATCGATGTGTCCATCTCTGCACTATAGTGGTTTCCCAGGCAGGAACGTGCTGGTGTGTTTTTCCGGTTCCACAGTTCCCAATTCCAATTCCAGTTCCACTTGGTGCCACGTGTACTGGCACTGGTCTTCGAATGGGCAGAGTTGGAGTATGTGGGGTTCTCTGCTGGCCCTTCCACAAATGGCTCGTATGCAGAATTAGACTTCTAAAAAGTAGGAGTTGGTTGGTTACCTCTGTCACTAGATTGGTGATGATTTACTTCATTTTCCATGGAATACGAAGGCCCCTTCACAGTAGGTGGTAGAACTGTTCCATTCTGGTGGTAGATGGAGAGACCATGTTGAAGGATAACCATTTTTGGAGTAGTGCAGGCTTGGTCATCAAAGTGACTCTGGGTCTTGGTCTTCTGATCCCGATCACGACGCTGGGGACGGTAATCTCCATTGTTCATGGCGTAGTAGGGCTCCTCATAATGATATGATTGGGCAGAAGCTCTCCACTGATAGGGCTCCTCGTAAAAACTTGGTTGGGTAACGGCACTCCGCTGGTTGTCAAAGCGACGAGATTGCAATAATTGTAGTTGATGCGTTGTCCATGCTTTCAGCGCTCCCAAGTAGTCTCCCATCCTCTCAGTCTCCTCCTGCTCCCGAAGGAGCGGTTTCCCCTCTTTATGCAATAGCTCAATATGCCTTTCCCGTTATCAAGTACAGCATTTCTATCTGGTATTTTTTGTTGGTACTTTCTGCATGAAGTTATTTCTTACCAAAATTTCAAATCAACCTATAAACGCATTTTGTCTTCACAAAGGTGGAAGTGCACACCAAATGAAATTAATTTACCACCTTATTATGGAAAGAAAACAAACCCAGAAACTGTGCCATGTGGGGATGCGCCACAAAAACTGAATTTTCATTGAACTCCAAATCATGTCAGTTATGCGTGTGCTATCCGTAGTAACATATAACATTGAATCAAAATAGATTCAACGTTGATTCAACGTCAGGACGCTGAACCGACGTCGAATCAATGTTGATTTAATGTTATGCGTTACTAGGGAAGTTTCACCTTTTTATTTCAGCCCTGTTCGCAAGGGCAAAAAACGGTCTTGAAAAATGTCATCCCCCAAAAATATGCATCCAGGGGATGCACCTGAAACTTAACATTTTTCCTGAAGTCAGTGTCTCAGTTGTGACGTTCATGAGAAGTTTCAGCTTTCCGCGTCCCTCCGTTTCCTTGGAGCAAAAATACTATTTGAAAACAACTCCTCCCCCCAATGTTTGCCCAAGGGCATGTACCTCCGAAGTCGGATATTTTTCCTGAAGTCTGAATTCCAATAGCTCCTTGTGTACCTAATATTAGATTTCTAACTCCTCTCAAGCATGGTTAGAATTGGCGTCACTCACTCACTCACAAATCGGTCACGATCGTCTGTATACAGGGTGATGCAAATTAATGTATAAAAAATTTGAGCCACTCTGTACCATCGATGGTAAATGTCATAACAACTAATAATGTGCAGTTGAAAGCATACAACATAACTTAAAATGTATATTTTTAAAAGTTACATAAAATATCCTACAAACGGAGCATGTACAGTTGAGTTTCAAACGAAGGAAGAACATGTTAAAGTGATACTGGAAGTATGAAAACGTGAGGGAAGTAAAGCTTGTCTTAATGCTAGCGTATGGAACAGCAGCTGCCACATGTGAAACTATTATTTATTTACATATTTAATGTATTTGAAGAACACGGAAATTACCAAAATGAGATTAAAATCTGGAATGGCAGAAAACGGCCAGCGTAAATTAAAAAGATGTGGAATATAATAACCACGTAACTGTATTCTAAAAAAAAAAACATTTTGAACATTTGACATTAGATGGCTATTGCATGCCGTTTTCGCGGGTTAACTTGTATACATAGCAAAGTTAGTTTATTCAGCACAATAAGTATTGAAGACCCATAAGTATATAGACCATAATTTCAAAATGCGTACAAATAATTTTGAATCACCCAATTTGATATTAAGTGTCATAAAAAAGTCTTTTTCATTCAGTTCCAAAAAGATGACTCCGAAGAAACATTCCATTTTCGTCCTCGTCATGTGCTCGTTTAGCGGTTCTGATTCTTGCCAGCGAAGAAATTTTGGTCGCATCTTCAAATGATCCATACTCGCCGAATGGAAGTGTGCACGAAGATCATAGAGAGTCCCGGAGCAATGGAAGGCTTCCAACGAAATCCTTCGGACTTCAAACAGCGACTGGGCTCCTTTGTACGGGGGAGTACTCCTCATCTGCTGCGACCAAGCCACACCCTCCCCTCCAGCTTCAACCACAAATTCTCCCCCTCCCCAAAAGCAGATCAGGCAAGTCAGTGAGTCGCATTTTTTTTTACTTCAATGGACCCACAGAATCATTTCGTGACTCATACTGTCAGAGCTGGCCTATGCTTTCCATTACTTCGAGCAGAATGCGAGGAGTACAAAATCTCGCTGAAGCACGTGACCTGTAAAAATTTCCTTTTTTTCCTGTAAAAACACCTTTGATCGTCGGTGGAGATGCAGCTGAGCTCCACGAGTTCCCGCACATGGTAAGGAGAACTCTTTCACTAGGTATGAGCAAATTTCAGTCCATTGAGCTATTTCTATGGAAGCAGTGATATGTGATCGTACACTATTAAAGTTGGTTCTTCGCAGCACATAGCTAATCGTAACTTTGGTCGTGCATTAATTTGCAATGGGACTATGCCTCGTTTACTTTCTTCCCCTACTTAATCCTCAAGTCCGCCGTGTTTATACATTTACTAAGAGAAGAGGTTCTCAATGCCGTGGCTTCTTACAGGCAAGCGGCGCAAGCTTAAGCCACATGATCAAGCACATCAGGAAAGGGTTGATGTGGAATTGGAGAAGAACCGATTCTTTGCTTTCCACAGCCCCCGTACAATGTTGGACATATTCTTCCAATCCCTTCCAATGATGCTTGCTCACCCAAGCGTTACTAGTTTAGGTGAATTGCCCTTTCTTTGACCCTGATAGCTCCTCCTCAGATTACCGACTACTTTGAAAAGAAAGTCCATGGTTTGATATATTAAAAGACGGATTTCCAGATTTCATCATTCAGAAACATAATTGTTGAAAAAACATTTCAGGCAATTAAAACAGGGATGACTCCAGAGAAAGACGTTGGTTTCGAAAACGAATCGATTTGCACGATGAGGTCGGTATCATGTTCAGATTCGAGTAATTCTCATTCAAGCATATTAATACGTAATACGCAGGTCAAAATGAAGAAGGCGAAATTTTCTGGGCGGTTGTTTTGCTTCTGAGAGAGTTCCATCAAATTGGTGCACCGTTCCAAACTTCATGCAATTTATTCTGCATGTTAATTTCATCCATTTATATTCGAGGATTCACAGTGTTTGAAATTTCGCAACTTTTTTCACTCAGGGCGGCCATATTGACCACTAAATAAAATAATCATTGTATATTATGCAGGAATTCGAAACCGCTGGAACTCGTCAAATTTGTTTCCAAGGGGTATTGCTACCTTAAGTCAAGTTTGCATAAAATGCCCCAGGAACCATGGGAATGATTCCATGTGTTAATGTGTTAATACAATTATCCTGAACGAGTTTGCCTTTCGTGGTCATGACGGTCTAAGAAAAAAAAACCCATCTGATGTGCAAAATAACAAAATGAACCAAATAAACACTCTGTTTCTATTACGTCGGATTTGAGGCAAAGAAACCTCTCGTTCATTAGAATACCTTTTTAAATCGAGATTTCTGGTTATAGTTGAGAAAATCTGAACCAAACCCAATGCTTGTCCTCAGGATAGATTCTTGACCATTTTGGAATACATGCAGTGCCAAGTAGGCAGTTTATCGCCACAGATATTCTGGAATATGATGATTTATTAATCAGTGTTCCAAACTATCCCTTCAATCCAGTCCAAATACGAGGAGACCTGAGTGTAGAAGCCTGGGAAGTCTCCATTTCCACACCCCACGCCGGTAGATACAATCCCGAGCATGGTGTGAACGCAGGTGTCTCGAGAGAGAGGGAGCATGAGCGGTCCTCCGGAGTCTCCCTGCAAGGAGTGTTTTCCATTGATCGGTATGGCCAGGTGATTCCTGATTCTAAGGTGATTTTTCTTGCTAAGTTTCCAGCTTTTGTTACCTGGCACGCGTCTTTTCCTCCGTCCCCAGCGCAGAGGACTCGTCCCTCTGTACCATTGGGATATTTTTTTCTCAGGACGAAATACTTCGAGATCAACTTGTCACACATGGATGGATCTCTCAACGGAACCGAAGCTTTCAGGAGGACGTTGCTCGCCTCTCCGACTGAGGAATAAATAATGGACATTTTAGTGATTTAGCACTAGGCTCATTCTGATCATGAAGAAATGAGATGAGAGCGAACGATAGGCGGTGGTTCCCCATCCAGCGACCGTCACATTGCTCCACTCTTTCGGCAGCGGGACGTCGTCAGTCGCCAGACAAATTGGATAAATTGTGTATCGAAAGGGGACTTTCCTATCCAGTTGTACCAGGGCAATATCATGGTAACTCTAGTAACAATAAAATAAAACGTATTTATTTTAAGTTCTTCTGTTGCTTTTAAAAGAAATAATAGATATGTCGCTTCAGAACGGAAACAAACCTGTAATCCTCTCTCACATTATTATCCCTAAAGGTACCTCAATAGCTGGTATAAGTCATTTGGATGGTACAAGGTATTAACTACTTGTGATTACATACCATTTTGGTGTCCCCTTTTCTCCAGTCTGGATGAATGACGACATTGATTACATTGTAATTGTACGGGATGGTATCATATTCATCATTCAGGTCGTGTTCCCCGAGTCTCACAGTTAAAGGCATGCTGAAACATCAAACATCAAGCAACAAAGGATATAGCATCGAATGGAGCAGCGACTAAATAAGTCATAACCCTTCCTCCTAGGTCACGACCCACGCGGAAAAAAAGGCACGAGGCGTACTCCTTTATGCAATGCGCGGCTGTGAGAACCCATTCCTCGCTGATGAGTGCCCCACCGCACATCCAAAACACTTCCCGGCTGGATTGTTTCGCTCCCAAAAGGGCCTGGAACATGGAATGGAAAGTGCAGGAATCACTTGGAGGCATCGAGACAGTGGGAACATGCTGAGTCTATAAGTTGAATGTTGCAACCCTTTCTCTTCCCATGCATTTGCATGGAGAGAGAGAGGGATACAGCATTTAGATAGGGAAACAACGTTCCCCATATGCATTTTAGAAAAGCATAATTTAAAAATATTCGGTTTCACATTGCATTCTTAATGGAAATTAAAAAATGAGAGCTGGTTAGTTCCAATATTTCAAAAGAACTTTTTATGTCTCAAGAAGCTTCCTCACCTTTTAGCGCAGAAATAGTTCGATACTAAGTCTCTGAAGGAATTCGTTATTTTTTCTTAACTTTCTTGGTGATGTCCTCACACCAAATTCATGCTTCTAAATTCATGAAGGAATCATTAAGAAAGTGCCTTAGAGTCCTAAAATCTGCATCCCTTTTTTTTTTAATGAAATCGGCGGAACTTCCAGCAATTTGGATGACTTGAATGGGAAATGCTCGAACCTGAACACGAAACCGTCCACACCTTGTAAATCAATTCGTCACGAATCCTACGTCATTCTCTGGAGTCATCCATGATGCAATTGTCTCAAATTATTGTTTTATTGAAATAATTATGTTTCTGAATGATGAAATTTGGAAATCCGTCATTTAATATATCAAACCATGGATTTACTTTTCAAAATATTCGGTAAACTGAGGAGGAGCTATCAAGGTCAAAGAATGGGCAATTCACCTAAACTCGTAACGCAGTGGTGAAGAACCATTATAGGGAGGAGTTGGAAGAATGTGTCTAACATTGCACGAGGCTATGGAAAACAAAGAATCGGTCATTCTCCTATTCCACATTACCCTTTCCTGATGTGCATGATCATGTGGCTTAAGGTTGCGCCGATTGTCTATAAGTAGCTTCGGCATTGAGAGCCTTTTCTCTTAGGAAATGTCAAACACGGCGGGCTTGTTGGATTACGAAGGGAAGAAAGAAAACGAGGTATAGTCCCATTGCAAATTATTGCATGACGAAAGGTACGATTGGCCATATGCGGCGAAGAACCAACTATAACGTTGTACAATCACATATCACTGGTTCCATTGAAGTCGCTCAACGGACTGAAATTTGCTCACACGTAGTGAAAGAATTCTCCTTACCATGTGCGGGAACTCGTGAAGATTAGCTGCCTCTCCACCGACGATCAAAGGTGTTTGGAAACTTTTACAGGTCACGTGTTTCAGCGAGATTTTGTACTCCTCGCATTCTGCTCGAAGTAATGGACAGCATAGGCCAGCTCTGACAGCATGAGTCACGAAATGATACTGTGGGTCCATTGTGGTAAAGAAATGCGACTCACTGACTTGGCTGATCCGCTTTGGTGCGGGGGGAGAATTTGTGGTCGAAGCTGGAGGGGAGGGCGTCGCTTGGTCGCAGCAGATGAAGGGCACTCCGGAGGCAAAGGAGCACAGTCGCTCTATGTAAGCCAATGGATTCCTTTGGAAGCCTTCCATTGCTCCGGCGCACTCTGTGATCTTCGTGCACACTCTTCCATTCGGCCAGCATTGATCATTTGACGATGAATCGAAATTTCTTCGCTGGCAGGAGGCCACACCGCCAAACGAGGACATGACGAGGACGAAAAATGAATATTTCTTCGGAGACATCTTCTTCGGAACTAAATGAAAAGGGCCTTTTATGACATCCAATATCCAAGAAGATTCAAAATTATTTGTACACATTTTGAAATTATGTATATTCAATACATATTGTACTGAATAAACAAAACTATGCTATGTGTACAAGTTAATATATGAAAACGACATGCAATTGCCATCTTATGTCAAATGTTCAAAAATTTTTTTTTTAGATTACTGATAGGCGGATATTATTTTCTACATTTTCTTCATTTCACGCTGCTCGTTTTCTGCCGCACTGGATTTTAACATCATTGTGGACATTTCCGTGTTCTTCAAATGCATAACGCATATGACTAATTGTTTCATATATGGCAGCTGGTGTTCCATATTCCAGCATCAATACACGCTGTACTTCCCTTGCATTCTCATACGTGCAGTACCACTTTAATATGTTCTTCCTCTGTTCGAAATGCAACTGTACATCCGCCAATTTTAGGATATATTATGTTACCTTTACAAATACAAATTTTAAGTCATGTATGCTAGCAACTGCGCATCATTAGTTGTTATGGCATTTGCCATCTATGGTACAGAGTGATTCGAAGTGTGTATACATTAATTTGAATCACCCTGTATACAGACGATCGTGACTGATTTGTGAGTGAGTGACGCTAATTCTAACCATGCTTCAGATGAGTTAGAAATCTGACATTAGGTACACAAGGAGCTATCGGAATGCAGACTTCAGGAAAAATATCCGACTTCGGAGGTACATGCCCTGGGACAAACATTTGGGGGGGGGGGGAGTTGTTTTCAAATAGAATTTTTGCTTCAGTGAAATTGAGGGAAGGGGAAATTTCTCATGAACGTCACAACTGAAACACTGAGTTCAGGAAAAATGTGAAGTTTCAGGTACATCCTCTGGATACATATTTTTGGGGGGTTGACATTTTTAAAGAAGGTTTTTTGCCCTTGCGAATAGGGCAGAAATTAAAAGGTGAAACCTCCCTAGTAACACATAACATTGAGTCAACATTGATTCAACGTCGGTTCAATCAACGTTGAATGTTGATGCTATGTGCTACTACGGTCACCACACGCATAACTGACATGATGTGGAGTTCAGGGAAAATTCAGTCGTTGTGGTGCATCCCCACAGGGCGCAGCTTCAGGGCGGGTCGTCTTTACGCAATACTTTTTCGCACCAGCGATGAGGGCAAATGTATAATGCTAAAACTCGGTAGGCATGTAGTTTTTCAAGTAAAAATATTATTTTGATATCGTGTTTTTTACTTATTTCAGTAAAAATAATATTATTTCCTAGGTAAAGCCCTTCAGGGCACATTTTTTTGCAGGAGGCGCATTTTCCAGATTTTTTTTCGATCCAACGAAAAAGCCGGCCGAAAGTTAAAACTTGGCGGAGAAGTATTTGTTGGATAGCCGGGTGAAAAAAAAATTCGACTTTTGAAATATGTCCCCTCGGGGCGGATTGTGGGAGGGAAGTAATTCACGATATGTGACGTTGGTCACACAAGAAATCATCCGAGCAATGACTGGGCCAGAAATCTGGGTAAGATTTTGCCACATCGAAAAAAATGAATTAATGAAATAATCACGATCGCAGATAATAGAGCGCCGTAGGCACGACCACAGTGAGTTTGTCTTTCGGGTAAACAAACTCGCTCATATATACAAGGTATATATCCCCGGCAGCGGCATGACACTCAGGCGATTAGAGGAGGTTTCTAGTGCAATTCTGGATCTGTTCGTGATTGGGGGCAGAGCCGATCACTCTTCGCTCAATTTGATCTTTCTCCCGCTGTGGAAGTGCTCGTCCGGGAAGACTCGGATAGTCGTATCTCTCCTCGCACCCGCAGGGGAACCGGACGCAGCCTCCGCTATCGATAGTTCCTCTCCATCCTCGCCCTGTTGAGTGAAGCCTCGATGTGAATCATGCTTCCTCCGCGATTAACAGGAGTTTCCTGGGACACGTAACCTGTTTAAACAAGTGGTTTGAGAGGCTCGAATGTCTTCCCTTGCGTTCACTGTAGGAAAATCAAGTACCAGTGTCAAGTACCGCAGTAAAGGTACTAGAGTCTTAACGAGCCACTCCCTCTTCACACTGAAATAGCGACTATATAGGCGCCGTCTCACATCATCTGTGGGATCCTTTCTTCTTCAAATAACTGAGATAGATTCTCAGATGCGGCAAATGTTGGCCGCGACTGCTTTCGCGATCGCACGTAAAATCCTGAAATTCGGCGGGCATTGATGCCATAGTCTAAATGGAGATTTTCAGCGATCCGACTCTTTTTGCAAAATTTGGCTGGCAGAATGTGAGGACGATCCATGTTATACGAGAATTGAACGAGGCGTCTGAGTTGCTAGGGTCATGCAGTAGGAAAAATCTCGACTTGACCAATTGTGAATCAATCGAGAATTTATGGATTAGGATCATCGGGACGATAGGGATGAACATGGTATCAGCATGGCATCATGGTATCAGCAAACGGCAGTCAAGTACTCTCCATTGCTATTCGTGGGTCGACGGGAAGCACCGGCGAGAAGTTGATGGCCGCGTTCCTCTCATTGAAATTATCATATACCGCTCCAAAATTAACTTAGACGGTGTTGTATCCCCCGAGAAAATCTGCAGCCTCATTCGAGGCCCAGCCGCACGTGTCCCATTTCGGATTGGTTTCCTGTCCTAATGTTCCTGTTCCTGTTCTAATTTAAAAAAAAATTATTTTTCGTCCGTGACCCAAGAGGGGTACGAGAGGGCTTTAAATTTTTTTGAGGGTGAACTCGACCGGGAAGGGACCCTACGAGTCGAAGTTCTCATTTTATGATTTCCTAACCCTTCATTCCCTGGAGTCTTTAGGTGGGTGGTCGTTTCCCATAAAAGTTCCTACATATGGCACCAATGTTTTTGAATCTGAGAACTTCGATTGTGCCTGCATTCATTGTTGATAGCATAAGCATTTAAAGGACATTGAAAGGATAGGGCGCTGGCATCAGGGTATCTCACGCTGGAAGACTAGTGAAGTACCATCGTACGAAGTACCTTTTGGGAAAAGGAACGATTCACTGGAGATGGTAAGGCCCATGCCCGAGGTAACGATATTTAAAAAGGGATACGACTTGAAGCAAGCTGTTGTTGCCAAAAGTTCCAGCTGAGAAGAAAAGGGGGAAAAGTCACCCGGATGCAGGCGAGGGCCTCTCTCCTGGTCAAGCAACGAGTGCACTCACAGGGGAAACCGCTGCCTTGCCCAGTGCGAGTTTGATGCGGCGGAACGACCTTCCCGAGGACAAACCAATATTCCTCCAACGGAGCCGGTCCTTTGGGCGTCCAGTTCTGAGCCGTCTCGGCCTGAGCTTCGCGCACGTCCTGCCTACGTGGGCGGCCTGACTCCCTGCCTTCTTGTCGCGCGAGGTGCGTGCTATGTTCTCTGTTGACGGCGGAAACATCAGAACCGCGGGTAACAAAACGTCTTCCATAGTTGCTCCACAACACTACTCTGGTCTTGTTCCAATTGTATTATTATTTTACTTTTACTTTGGATTTTTACTCCAGCCAAACGAAACATGTCAACAGCTCTCATAAATCGACTGCAGCGAATTAAGTAATGCATATCCTCGGCGCAGCACATTTCGGGCTCTTCATTTCAAGCAGGGAAATGTTATTCTCCAGCACAATTGTGTCTGTGGATACCATGACTTATTCCAGTATTTGGGAATCGAGTGGAACATTGCTGAAATCGATCAAACTGTCTGAAGACATCATTCCGCGGTAGCATGTTTAAATGAATGAAATATGGAGTGAACTAGAAGCCAAAGTATTTTTGAATAGCTATATATAAATGAAACTGAGTAATCGTTTCTTCCTCCTCTCCAAACTCTCCAATTTCTCGAAATATCACATTTCTGAGGATTCCGTTCCACGATATTCAAGTAAGACCCATCATGCAAAATTGGAATTCTGGAGCATCAGAGTTAGGAGGGGAGATGCTTTCCATCTTCAGAGACCCCCCCCCCACTTTTGTTTATTTTTAAAACAATGAAACAAATGAGACAATCTCAGCGAGATCTGTCTTATAGACTTCTGAAGATAACGTTCACATTTCCAACTAGAAAACTTCGGATCAATAGACCGGATGCAGTTCGTCCTCTCTGGGAATCCTGCAAAAATTTCAGCGAGTTCCGCCTTGTGGAACTTCATGGAGAAAAAAAAGCCAAAAAAAAGTATATTTCATGGTCCTGGCATGAGAGAGCCCAGGCAGTCGTGGGTGGAGCCATCCAAGAGGTACAGTGCGGCTTTCTTGAGGGGCGCAGCACCACGGACCGACTGCTCATTCCCGAACTCGAGAGGCACTGGCCAAGGTTGTTTTCGTGTGGTCGAAGGCTCCGAAAAAGCGTTGCAACCCCCGAGGGGCGCTGTGGGGAGTGCTGCAGGAGTATGGGATGTCGAGTCGGCTTTTGGGGGCTTTTCAGTATCTATACGGCGATTGCATGAGCTGCTTCCGAGCGAGCGGGAGGAGTGTGGATATTTCTCTAAATACGCGCTGGACTCCAGCAAGGTTGTGTCCTCTCACCTTTCCTGTTCCTCGTGGACATGGACACGATCTGTAGGCGCAGCCTCGGCCTGGAAGGGGCCTACATCGGTGAGGGTAATTCTCTTTGTCGCGGATGCCGTCCTTCTGACCCGCACTCGACAGGAGCTCCAGAGCGTGCTCGATCGGTTCCACTCCGAATGACTGCGGCCGGAATAAAACTGAGCGTCTCCAATACATGGTCATGGTCCTCTCGAGAAAACCTGCAGTACACCCTGTTCTTCCATCTATTAGAACTTTGCTCTTCCCAATAATTACAATCTATGGAGGGACTTGGAAAAATAACGAAGTAATCCCATCATTATCCTTGTTAAAACGTTCTTTTTATCTCTAGAAACCTCATAGTTTAGAACATGATGATACCCGCTCTCATGATTTAGTGTTCCAGACAATCCCTTCAATCCAGTCCAAGTAGGAGGAGACCTGAGTATAAAAGCCAGGAAATTCAGGATTCCCGCACCCGACGCCAGTGGATACGATCCCCACAATGGTGTGCACGCAGCTGGCTGGAGAAAGAGGGAGCATCAACGGTCCCCCTGAGTCCCCCTGTAAGAAGAAATGGAATGTCATGAACAAAGCTAAAGGGGTCAGTCGACGTTCACATATCGACTGAATGGGATGCTCGGCTTTACTACCTGGCACGAATCCTTGCCTCCTGTGCCGGCGCACAGGATTCGCCCCTTCGCACCTTTCGGATAGGTTCTTTTCATATGTGGATATTTTGAAAGCACCTGATCGCAGTCTGATGGCCCCATCAATGGAACACGGACTTTTTGCAGAATGCTGCTCTTCGTCTTGCCGCCTGGGAACGAAAGGATGAGCTATGAATGATTGCAATCATTGTCATCACTAAGAAAATCAGTGCGTACGGGAAGAATTCGTTCCCCATCCGGCAGCAATCAGAGAGTTATTTCCTTTCGATTTCAAAATTCCCTCTTCAGTCGGCAGACACGCTGGGAAAATAAGGTGTTGAGAGTGCACTTCCCGATCCAATCGCAGGAGGGCAATATCATGGTATTTCTAAAAACGAAAAATAAATATTTTGTTTTAATATGCGGGCAGGACTACTAAAAAAAAATTGGACTATCGAATACCACTACTACTTCATACTAATACTACTTCATCAGGCAACAATTAGTTTAGGTCCGTGAATAACACGTCGGTGCACAAATTGCATTCATGATTACGTACGATCCGTTTTCCCCTTCTTCTCCATCTTGGGTGAATGAGGAACTTGGTCACATTGTAATCGTATGTGATGGACTCATCATCATTCAGGTCATGCTCCCCGAGTCTCACCATCAAAGGCACGCTAAAATGTATGAAAAAATGTAATAAATCAAACTAAACTACGAAAGAGAATGCAACGTACTCGTTGTCGATGCAATGGCCTGCTGTGAGGATCCANTCGGCCAGGAAACCCGCAGGTCAAGACTCGGCAGAGCCGGACTCGAAGCGCGTGCAGGACGGATGCACCCGCCGGACTGAGGGACGGAAGAACAGCGCGCTCCACGCACGATACAAGAGACAACTGCACGGAAACATCAGAACCGCGGGTAACAAAACGTCTTCCATAGTTGCTCCACAACACTACTCTGGTCTTGTTCCAATTTGTATTATTATTTTACTTTTACTTTGAGTTTTTGCTCCAGCCAAACGAAACATGTCAACAGCTCTCATAAATTGACTGGAGCGAATTAAGTAATGCATATCCTCGGCGCAGCACATTTCGGGCTCTTCGTTTCAAGCAGGGAAATGTTATTCTCCAGCACAATTGTGTCTGTGGAAACCATGACTTATTCCAGTATTTGGGAATCGAGTGGAACATTGCTGAAATCGATCAAACTGTCTGAAGACATCATTCCGCGGTAGCAGGTTTAAATGAATGAAATATGGAGTGAACTAGAAGCCAAAGTATTTTTGAATAGCTATATATAAATGAAACTGAGTACATCGCGTCTTCCTCCTCTCCAAACTCTCCAATTTCTCGAAATATCACATTTCTGAGGATTACGTTCCACGATATTCAAGTAAGACCCATCATGCAAAATTGGAATTCTGGAGCATCAGAGTTAGGAGGGGAGATGCTTTCCATCTTCAGAGACCCCCCCCCCCCACTTTTGTTTATTTTTAAAACAATGAAACAAATGAGACAATCTCAGCGAGATCTGTCTTATAGACTTCTGAAGATAACGTTCACATTTCCAACTAGAACACTTCGGATCAATAGACCGGATGCAGTTCGTCCTCTCTGGGAACCCTGCAAAATTTCAGCGAGTTCCGCCTTGTGGAACTTCATGGAGAAAAAAAAAGCCAAAAAAAAGTATATTTCATGGTCCTGGCATGAGAGAGCCCAGACAGTTGTGGGTGGAGCCATCCAAGAGGTACAATGCGGCTCTCTTGAGGGGCGCAGCACCACGGACCGACTGTTCATTCCCGAACTCGAGAGGCACTGGCCAAGGTTGTTTTCGTGTGGTCGAAGGTTTCCGAAAAAGCGTTGCACCCCCCGAGGGGCGCTGTGGGGAGTGCTGCAGGAGTATGGGATGTCGAGTCGGCTTTTGCGGGCTTTTCAGTGTCTATACAGCGATTGCATGAGCTGCTTCCGTGCGAGCGGGAGGAGTGTGGATATTTCTCTAATACGCGCTGGACTCCAGCAAGGTTGTGTCCTCTCACCTTTCCTGTTCCTCGTGGACATGGACACGATCTGTAGGCGCAGCCTCGGCCTGGAGGGGGCCTACATCGGTGAGGGTAATTCTCTTTGTCGCGGATGCCGTCCTTCTGACCCGCACTCGACAGGAGCTCCAGAGCGTGCTCGATCGGTTCCACTCCGAATGACTGCGGCCGGAATAAAACTGAGCGTCTCCAATACATGGTCATGGTCCTCTCGAGAAAACCTGCAGTACACCCTGTTCTTCCATCTATTAGAACTTTGCTCTTCCCAATAATTACAATCTATGGAGGGACTTGGAAAAATAACGAAGTAATCCCATCATTATCCTTGTTAAAACGTTCTTTTTATCTCTAGAAACCTCATAGTTTAGAACATGATGATACCCGCTCTCATGATTTAGTGTTCCAGACAATCCCTTCAATCCAGTCCAAGTAGGAGGAGACCTGAGTATAAAAGCCAGGAAATTCAGGATTCCCGCACCCGACGCCAGTGGATACGATCCCCACAATGGTGTGCACGCAGCTGGCTGGAGAAAGAGGGAGCATCAACGGTCCCCCTGAGTCCCCCTGCAAGAAGAAATGGAATGTCATGAACAAAGCTAAAGGGGTCAGTCGACGTTCACATATCGACTGAATGGGATGCTCGGCTTTACTACCTGGCACGAATCCTTGCCTCCTGTGCCGGCGCACAGGATTCGCCCCTTCGCACCTTTCGGATAGGTTCTTTTCATATGTGGATATTTTGAAAGCACCTGATCGCAGTCTGATGGCCCCATCAATGGAACACGGACTTTATGCAGAATGCTGCTCTTCGTCTTGCCGCCTGGGAACGAAAGGATGAGCTATGAATGATTGCAATCATTGTCATCACTAAGAAAATCAGTGCGTACGGGAAGAATTCGTTCCCCATCCGGCAGCAATCAGAGAGTTATTTCCTTTCGATTTCAAAATTCCCTCTTCAGTCGGCAGACACGCTGGGAAAATAAGGTGTTGAGAGTGCACTTCCCGATCCAATCGCAGGAGGGCAATATCATGGTATTTCTAAAAACGAAAAATAAATATTTTGTTTTAATATGCGGGCAGGACTACTAAAAAAAAATTGGACTATCGAATACCACTACTACTTCATACTAATACTACTTCATCAGGCAACAATTAGTTTAGGTCCGTGAATAACACGTCGGTGCACAAATTGCATTCATGATTACGTACGATCCGTTTTCCCCTTCTTCTCCATCTTGGGTGAATGAGGAACTTGGTCACATTGTAATCGTATGTGATGGACTCATCATCATTCAGGTCATGCTCCCCGAGTCTCACCATCAAAGGCACGCTAAAATGTATGAAAAAATGTAATAAATCAAACTAAACTACGAAAGAGAATGCAACGTACTCGTTGTCGATGCAATGGCCTGCTGTGAGGATCCATTCCTTGCTGATGAGGGTTCCGCCGCATTTCCAGTAAATGCTCCCATTCGACAGCTTTTCTCCTACAAGAGCCTGGAGTGTGAAATCGAAAATTCATGAAGCACTTTGAGGTATCATGGCCCTGGGACATGCCACATGGAAAAGCTGCATGTCGCATCTCCAATATTCCATGAACTTTCATAAAGGCACATAAAGAAAATGAACTCTTTCTGGATTCCATTATCCTTTCATTATGTGAAAAAATCAAAATTGATATATTACAAATTTCGAGAGTATACCTTAATTTTTTTTAAATCGTGATCGCGACATTCGCCTTTTTAGCCCTCTCCCCTTACTAAGGAGAGAATATCCTGCCGGTTTTTTTTTTTTCTTTATGAGGAAAAGTAATCTTTCTCGACCCATGTTGCAAATCATTCTGAGAACTTTCTTTATAACTTCTTACGTACGTAGGGGTGCACATCTAATTAAGTTATTTGATTACCATTGAGTGCACAAAATCTATATTAACCCTCTGCTTTTGGAGAAGTACGGAGGACTCCGCATCTAATAAATGGTCACTCAAAATGAAAAGCATTGTGACAGTCCGTAGTCCTAGTGTGACCATGAGTACCTCTCGGAAGCAACCGGGACTCATCACCGAATGAGACTGTTCTACAACGCATTTGAGGTCATACCATACGCCTGTGACACCGCTGCAGAAAAGTTGCCTGTTCTGGTCCTGCACAAATTGGCTGTCGTGATCTGAAACCTGATGTCCATGAACGTTTTGCAGATGGTTTTGAGCTGATATTTTTCTCCCTTCAGTCCCTGCAGAGGCTGTAGAGGTTGCAGTAGCAAGCTTATGTCTACGTCGAATGTAATATTACTTTTTTTCTCAAATATATATTTCATGGCATATTTCAAGGACAGTTCCATATATAGAGCATTCCTTTTAAAATTTCTGCAATTAGAACCATGTGAAATAATTAAGCATGAATTTTGAAGGCAAATACGAGAGGCGATCCAAAAGTTTCTGCAGTGAGATATAAGGGAACGTGACTGATTGTTGAAACAAATTTTACTTTCCAGCATTACATCCCTGGACATGAATGCTAGTCCGATTGTTGGAACAGTGCTTCAAATTTTTTAGGGAAAATTCATTTTCCACTGTCGACTGAAAATGATGAAATGGATTCACCGAAAAGACACCATTGTCAGTTTCGCCTTCATGGCCGCTTCACTGGAAGTTTTGCTTTAAATTGTTATTATTAAATGAGCTGTTTCATTGGGATGATTGCATTTATACCATATGAATAGTTTTCATTCTAAATACAAATTAAAAAATTGCTCCGAATTCAAAATTCTGCAATTTGAAACCGATATTTTCAATAACTACAACATGCCTTATATTCAAATTATTATTAAAAATATAAATGCACCTAAGACCGATTGCTGGCCCTTTAAATTACTGAAAAGGATGAATGAATATGGGAAGCAAATTTCAGCTTTCTCCGATCATTCCTACTATCTCAAGGCAGAAAATTTTAGACCGCCCCTCGTAAATACATTTCGTAAAAAAAAAAACCTGTACATTACTTTCCGAGCGACCCTAGAATATATAATCCCATCACGTGTAAATAGGCAGCTTGAAGTAGCTCCATGAGCCGGGGGTTGCACAGTCCTGTTCTTAGGAAACTCCTTACCATATGAGGGAACTCGTAGGGCTTCGCTGCCTCTCCACCGACAATTAATCCTTTTTGAGATTTCTCGCAGGTCACGCCTCTCTGGAAGGCTTTGTACTCCTCGCATTCTGTTCGAATTAAAATTCAAGGTAAACCAACTCTTACAGTAAGGGTCACGATATTATAAGTGCAATAACGTGAAAAACTTGACTCACTGGCTTGGCTGACCCGTTTTGGGTGAGAGGGAGAACTTGTGGTTGAAGCTCGAGAGGAAGGAGTCACTCGGTCGCAGCAGATGAGAGGCTCTCCGTATTCGAAGGAGCAGAGTAGCGATCGGAAGGTCGATGGATCCGACTGGAGTCTTGCCATTGCTCCGGGACACTCGGCGATCTTCGTGCATATTCCTCCATTCAGCGGACATGGATCATGCGATGGAAAGATGACCCCGCTCCTCCGGCCGGTGGCAAAATTGCAAAAGGAGCAGATGAGGAGGACGATGAGGGAGCACTTCGTCGGAGATATCATCTTCTTTGTCATAGTTTACAAACCGGCCTCGTGCACGATATATGTACTAACCACTCTGGTTATCACCAGTCTCGTCGTCGCCTCCTCCGTCGAATGAGGTAATGTTTCTCGATTGTCCCAACCGAGGACAATTCAATATCCGGGATCCGGATTTCCCTTACCGATAGCGGACACGGGAAGGAAAGTCCGTCCTCGCAAAGTGATGCTTGACGATTAGTTCCTTCTATGACTATATTGGTAAAATTCCAGTTCACCACATGAGGTATTAGGTTCAGATGTTCCTAGACTAATTCGCACAGCTTGCGTAAGGAAATCGATAAGTCTCCAGGAAGGTGATAGTATCCGGAAGTGATTTAATTGTGCATACCAAGACTTAGGGGAGCTTTGACGTTCAAGGTTCAAGGTTGCTTAGTGGTATCAAGATGCAATAACACCCATTGAGATACCACGTGTCGAGGTCGAGGGTTCCTTAATTTTAGGAGAGGCTGTCTCCTCCTAAAGCGACATAATCTTGTATTTTTGTGTGTTTTGTGATTTTTTAAAGCATATTTTAGTTGCTTATTGCCTAGTGACTTATGTCAAAACTGCCTCCCTTCGTGCTTGTCCATGAAAGCATCTCGTTTCTTCTTAAAAATAGTCATGGAAGAGATGTCGTGGTCGAATGAGATACTTAGGTATTCGATTATTCATGCAAGATTTTGTTTTCCGAAAGAAAAGATGATTTACATTACATGTGAGAATTGCACGAGGCGTCCGAGATGCTTGAGTTACATAGAATTTTGCTATGCTATACCTCAATTTGACTTATTGCGAGTGAATTGGGCATTCATGGTTGGATATCGTTGAGACGATAGGGTTGAACCTTGTTTGGTGTCGGCTAACGGCAAGCAAGGACTCTCCCTTGCTATTCATATGTCGAAGTGAATAATCGGTGAGAAGGTGTTATTCTGGTGAGATGTTAATATACCATTCCAAAAATATGACCTGAGCTGAGTTCCATCCCCTGCTGGAAAACTGAATCTTGGAATCGGATGCCTTATTCGTCGTAGATGCACACGTCCCTCTATCTCGGACCCTGATTCTTGTCCCAGCAAGAATGGGCACCGCTCAATATCTGCTAGGGCGGACGACTTCCTTGTCTGGACCACTCAGGTCTTTTAAATCATTTAATGGAAAGTTTAAGCAAAAGTTCTACAATTACAATTGGTCATTGATCAGAGATGGATACGAGGAGGCAGAGGAATTTTTGGAAGAGGACTTCTGCGGTTTAATATGTCCGTTCTTTCCTACCATTATCATACTCCAGTTATAAAAATGGTTCCTTCCTACTTCTAGAAAAAGATATAGATTCAAGATTCAAGATTCAAGATAGTTAGTGATATCAAGAGGCGATTTCACCCATTTCGATATCACGTGTCAAGGTCGAGCGTTCCTTAATTTTAGGGTAGGCCTAACCCTCCTAAACCTTTTTTTTATACTATTCTAGTTGCTTACTGTCTTGTACCTATCTAGTACCTGTGATGATGAAGCTGGAAATGGCAATCAATTCTGTTATCATTGTTATTATCCTGAGCATGTCAAGAATCTTTACGAGGGGAGCGCTTGCGTCAGTGTATATCTCCCATTGAAATACTTGTGCTTCCTTACACAGAGTTTAGAGAAAGTCTCGGAATATTGATCTCTACGAAACAAATCCCATTGCAAAGATGAATTTCGTGTGGAGTTTCTGGATCTTCTCTATTGAAAATGATATGAATATCGTGATCTGATGAGCGAGAGAGCCATCATAATATTCCCAATATGGCAGAATAGGAGCTCAATCTCAATACAATGCATTCGAAAAGTTCATTCCTTTAGTGGGTAATACATTTTTTTATGTATGAAGAATTAATATTACATATAATAAAATATGTAATATCATTGCCATTGTTGTATAAGAAATTCCTACAGGTCGCACTTTACCCATGGTATTCGACTGCGTGCTTGGAGTATGGTGCGAAAAAAGGTGAAGAGTATAGTAAATTTCGAGAACTAAAACGATGTAACACTTAGTGCGGCAGCGTGACACGTTAAAGCTCATTTCACCCGTTGTTCTGCTTGGCGCCCCAGCACGTCAAACGAGTACAGCGCATGCGAAGCAAAGAAAATGTGATATATCCATTTCCTACTTGAGGTTTTGCTTTTCAAAGCAGCATACTACTCGGAGCGCACCGTCCAACCCAAGCAAGAGTTTTTTCTGCTCCGCACCTTTTCGATGTCAACGCACCGATGCGAGAGGGAAAGCACAGAGAAATGAAGCGGGGCGAGTTCCAGTCTCAACAACATCGAACTCTAGCAGCGAGCATCAGCTGAGACGAATTTAGTAAAGCTGGCGGTATATTGGTATCGTCTAGATATCGCAAAACACAAGAGGACATCTAAAAAGAAAAACCTGCTAACGCTTCGCTGAACCGAATTTTCACATTCAGAATACTTGTTTTCGGAAGAATTTTCTTCTCCGGAGATATCGGGAAACAAAGCAATTCCATTCCCCAAACGTTACACAGCTCTCTTCAGTGAAAGAATTTTATTCTAGAACATAGTGGCGGTTGCACTTGTAGTCTTCCAGACAATCCCTTCAATCCAGTCCAAGTAGGAGGAGACCTGAGTATAGAAGCCAGGGAAGTCAGGATTCCCGCACCCGACGCCAGTGGATACGATCCCCACAATGGTATACACGCAGCTGTCTGGAGAGAGAGGTAGCATCAATGGTCCCCCTGAGTCTCCCTGCAAGAAGAAATGCAAAGTCACGAACAAAGCTAAGGGGGTTAGTCGACATCTCCATATCGACTGAAAGGGATGCTCGGCTTTACTACCTGGCACGAATCTTTGCCTCCTGTGCCGGCGCACAGGATTCGACCCTTCACACCTTTTGGATAGATTCTTTTCAGACCCAGACGTGGATATTTTGAAAGCACCTGATCGCAGTCTGATGGCCCCATCAATGGAACACTGACTTTTTGCAGAATTCTGCTCTTTATCTCGCCTTTGAACGAAAGAATGAGCGATGAATGACGGCCATCGTTGTCGTCACTAAGAAAATCAGTGCATACCGATAGAGTTATTTCCCCATCCAGCAACACTCAGAGAGTTATTTCTTTCCGGTGTCAAAATTTCCTCTTCAGTCGGCAGACACGCTGGGAAAATAAGGTGTTGAGAGTGCACTTCCCGATCCAATTGCAGGAGGGCAATATCATGGTATTTCTTAAAGCGAAAAATATATGTTTTGTTGGAATATGCAAGCAGGTTAACTGAGAAAAAATTGGATCATCTAATTCTACTTCATCAGGTAACAATCATTACGTATAGTCGTGCCACTCTCCAGGCTGACACCGGCGAATTTTGTCGCCCCCGTGCATCATCCTACTTAATGATCCTGAAAGGAATCCTAACGGCAGAAAATCAGAGAACCCTAATGTTTTTTATTACCCCAACCTCATAAACTTTACGGCTTGCTTGCAGAGCCGCAAAGAAAAATAGGGAAATTTTCACCCATTGCATGACAGCGTCGTTATTCATTGTTCCGTTGAGTGTCATCCTAAAGAGTGGCACTTCTATACGTGAATTAGGCAAAAATTGTATTCTGGATTGCGTACGATCCGATATCCCCCTCTTCCCCATCTTGGATGAATGACGAACTTCGTCACACTGTAATCGTATGTGATGGTCTCAACATCATTCAGGTCATGTTCCCCGAGTCTCGCCATCAAAGGCAGGCTAAGATGCATGAAGAAATGTAAGAAATCAAGCAACGAAAGGGAAAGCAAATGGAACTCATAATCTTTCCTCGTGAGTTATGTCCCACGAAGGAGAGTCATGATCGACGCTGGAAAAGACGAGGACGTACTCGTTGTTGATGCAGTGGGCAGCTGTGAGAATCCATTCCTTGCTGATTAGGGTTCCGCCGCATTTCCAAGAAATGTTCCCGTTCAACAGCTTTTCTCCCACGAGGGCCTTGAGTGTGGAATCGAAAATCCATGACGCACTATGAAACATCATTGCACTGGCACATGCCACATGAAAAAGTTGCACGTTGCATCCCCAACATCCCATGAACATTTGAAAAACGCACATGACGAAAATGAATTTTCATCGGATTTCATTATCCTTTCATTATGTGAAAAAATGAAAAATGATATGTTACAATTTTCTGGAATATACCGTAATTTCATTTGAAAAAATGTTCATTGCTCTCCGAACGACTGAAAAATATATATTCCCTTCACGTATAAATAGGCTGCTTGAAGTAGCTTCACGAGTCGGGGATTGCACATCCCTGTTGTTATGGAACTCCTTACCATGTGAGGGAACTCGTAGGGCTTCGCTGCCTCTCCACCAACAATTAATTCTTTTTGAGATTTCTCGCAGGTCACGCTTTTCTGGGAGGCTTTGTACTCCTCGCACTCTGCTTGAAGTAATATTCCAGATAAGCCAATTCTTACTGAAAGGGTCACGATATGATGAGTGCAATGACGTCGAAAAATTAACTCACTAGTTTGGCTGACCCGTTTTGGGGGAGGGGGAGAACTTGTGGAAGAAGCTGGAAGGGTGGGTGTCGCTTGGTCGCAGCAGATGAGGGGCTCACTGGATTTGGAGGAGCAAAGTAGCGATCGGATGGTTGATGCATCCGACAGGTTTCTTGCCACTGCTCCGGGACACTCGGCGATCTTCGTGCATACTCCACCATTCAGCGAGCATGGATCATGCGATGGAAAGATGAACCCGCTCCTCTGGCCGGTGGCAAGATTCCCAAAGGAGCAGAAGAGGAGGACGATGAGGGAGAACTTCGTCGGAGATATCATCTTTGTTTCTGTATGCAAACCGGCCTTGTGTACAGTATATCTAATAGACGATCGTGACTGACTGACTCACTGACGCTAATTCTAACCATGTTCTACAAGGGTTAGAAATCTGAAAATTGGTACACATGTACCTTTAGAGATGCAGAGTTCAGAAAAAATCCGCTTTTGTAGGTTTATACCCTGGGGGTGCATATTTTGGGGGGAACCAGTTTCCTTAAATATATTTTGTGACAGATGAGGAGGGCATTCAGAAAGCCAATTAGTTGTGCTGGGTTCGGTGGTGTAGTTGTAGCAACTCTGGCAATCAGAAGTTCCGCGTTCAATTCCTGGCCTGGCGTTTGCTTTCTTTTTGCTCTTTATGCCTTCTTTGTCCCATTACTCATTCCCCCACCATAACGTTATTTTTGCTTGAGTAAAATGGAGAGACATGGAAAGCTGAAACTTGGCATGGACGTCCCTACCGAGACGATAAGTTCAGGAAAAATGAAAAATTTTAGATCCATGCCCTCTGGGGCATATTTTTGTGAGCTGAGGTTTTCAACTAATTTCTTTACATCAGTTAAACTGACGAACATGGAAAGCTGAAACTTTGCATGAATGTGACAACTAAGACAGTGTTAAATAAAAAATGTTGGGTCTTGATACATCCCCTGGGGGAATTTTTTTTCGAAGGGGTGATATTTTTAAGAAAAAAAATTTTGTGGCGAATTTGACAGAAATGAAAAGGTGAAACTTGGCACACGTAAAGGTGACATGATATCACTGAGCTGAGGGAGTATTCAGCATTGATGGGGCATCCCCTCCGTGCATAGCTTTTGGGTGGGTAGGCTTTTCCAAGCATGTTCTTTCACTAGCGAAAAGGGCAAACGTATAATATTGAAACTTTGTGGGCATGTAGTTCACCGGGTAGACAAAGAAAACTAGCTTGCGCACGCATGACTGACGTGATGTTGATTTAAGGAAAAATTGAACTTTTTTTCTACGTCTCATCGGAGCACAGCTTAAGGGTGGGTCGCTTTTCCAAATAATTTTTTTTTCCGCCCAGCAAAAAGGGGAAATGTATAAGGCTGAAACTGGGTGGCATGTAGTTCCCTGAGTCTACATTTCAAAAGAAAAAGACAATTTTCGTTAATACACATTAGGGCACTTTTTAGTCCCATTTTCCTTTTTTTTTTATCCAACGAAAAAGGGACAGTAAATTTAACCTTCCCTCAGAAGTTCCTATTTGATACTGAGTAGAGGAAAAATCCTAATTTTTAAATATGTCCCCTTAGCGTAGATTATAGGAGGGAAGTATTTCAAAATAGGTAATAGAGCGCCGAAGGCGCGACCATAGCGAGTTTGTTTGCCCGAAGAGCAAACAAACTCGCTAGTATGCTAATCACTCTGGTTATCACCAGTATCGTCATCGTCCCCTCCGTCGAATGAGGTAATGTTTCTCGATTGTCCCAACCGAGTCAATTCGATATCCGGGATCCGGATTTCCCTTACCGATAGCGGACACGAGAAGGAAAGTCCGTCCTCGCAAAGTGATGCTTCATGATTAGTTCCATCTACGACTATATTGTTAAAATTCCAGTTCACCTCATAAGGGATTTGGTTCAGATGTTCCCTGACTAATTCGCACAGCTTGCGTAAGGAAATCGATGAGTCTCCAGGAAGGTGACAGTGTCCGGAAGTGATTTAATTGTGCATACCAAGACTTAAGGGAGCTTTGACGTTCAAGGTTCAAGGTTCAATGTTGCTCAGTGGTATCAAGAGGCAATAACACCCATTGAGATTCCATGTGTCGAGGTCGAGGGTTCCTTAATTTTAGGACAGGCTTTCTCCTCATAAAGCGACATATTCTGATATTTTTGTGAGTTTTATGATTTTTTTTTAGCATATCTTACTTGCTTATTGCCCAGTGACTTATGTCAAAACTGCCTCCCTTCGTGCTTGTCCATAAAAGCATCTAGTTTCCTCTTTAAAAAAGTCATGTAAGAGATGTCGTGGTCGAATGAGATACTTAGGTATTCGATTCTTCATGCAAGATATGGTTTCCCGAAAGAATAGATGATTCACATTAGATGTAGATGTGAGAATTGCACGAGGCGTCCGAGATGTTTGAGTAATATAGAATTTTGCACATCCCTGTTGTTATGGAACTCCTTACCATGTGAGGGAACTCGTAGGGCTTCGCTGCCTCTCCACCAACAATTAATTCTTTTTGAGATTTCTGGGACGCTTTTCTGGGAGGCTTTGTACTCCTCGCATTCTGCTCGAATTAATATTCAAGATAAGCCAACCCTTACCGAACGGGTCACGATATGATAAGTGCAATAACGTCGAAAAATTGAATCACTGGCACAGCTTTCGTAAGGAAATCGATGAGTCTCCAGGAAGGTGATAGTATCCGGATATAATTCAATTGCGCATCCCAACACTTAGGGGAGCTTTGATGTTCAAGGTTCAATGTGCAAGTATGGTTGGTGGTATCAAGTGGCAATAACACCCATCGAGATACCACATGTCGAGGTTGAGCGTTCCTGAATTTTAGGAAAGGCCTACTTCTCCTAATCCTTAACTGGTTTGCGATAGAGAAATCCGACTAAAATGTCGGATGACGTAATGGCTTAAATCCCCGGAATGAAACGGAGAATGGGCATCCAGAGAGAGAAAGTACAGTAACATGGATGTGAATTTCAACTTTCTGCGTTGCAAATTCAAGGAATGACGTTACATAGATAGCAGAAGATCTTGGGAAAAATTAAGCCGCACTTTTTGGATCTTCCCTGATGAAAAAGCGATAAATTCCATGATCCATTAGGCAAGAGAGGAATGATATTGAGCCAAATATGGTAATGTAGGTGCTCAATTTCAATACAATGTATTCGAACAGTTTATCTCTATTGTGGGGAATAAATACATGAGGAAACGGTGAATGGAAAGATATCGGCTTCATCCCCCTAAATTCCCTTTTTCACTCTCCGCCCACTGACACCGAAACAAAGGAAATGCCATCGGGCTCCACCAACCGTGCCGGGGCGACGACGGGTCTCATCAGAATGGCGAAAACGCGTCCGGAAGCGGGCAATCCGGAGGCACAGTGTGACCCGGGTCTGTCCAAGAGGCCCGACCCCCGACCCGACCCGCGCATGCCTGGGAAGGCTGCGGCATGAGCTGGCAGGCGCAGGCGCCTGGGCGTCTTACATGCCTTTTGTTGGCAAGGCCTCTAACGTGTGATGAGTTTCCAACGCACGCTGTGCAAATTGGCAGGCATGAAAATGGGGGGGGGGGGGTGGCAATATATTTATATTTATTCAATCTTACGTACACTTTTACTAGGGAATGCGGGAAGTTAAAGTAAATTTAAGATATCCACCCCGGAAGAAACGGTGCTCTTTCTTGCCATGCAAGGAGGCACCATAATCTTTACAGACTAACTCAGTAATATGTAACTTGTACAGAAGATCAAATAAAGAATATATAAAATATGTTATATGGATGCCGTTGTAATATGTGAAATGCCTACAGGTCTCATTCGACCTGAGATAACCCTTGGCCTCCGATTGCGTGAATGGCGTATGGTGCCAACAAAGACGAATAATTGAGGAGATTGCCAGAACCAAAACAATGGAACACTAGCGCGCCAATGTGACACGTTGAAGCTCATTTCACCCGTTGTTCCACGTGGCGCCCCAGCACGTCAAACGAGTACAGCTCATGCGAAGCAAAGAAAATGTGATATATCCATTTCCTACCTAAGGTTTTGCTTTTCAAAGCAGCATACTACTCGGAGCGCACCGTCCAACCCAAGCAGGAGTTTTTTCTGCTCCAGTTTTTCGATGTCAACCCACCGATGCGAGAGGGAAAGCACAGAGAAATGAAGCGGGGCGAGTTCCAGTCTCAACAGCATCGAAATCTAGCAGCGAGCATCAGCTCAGACGAATATGGGATGTATAGGATATAATACATTATTTATATTCTATACTATACAGGATATAGGATAGAATACACACACACACGCACACACACACAGTCTGGACTCGAAAAAGGAAAATCCTAACAAGTGTCGCTTGCCCAGTCCGTGTTCACACAGTCACTCGAGGAGGCCAAGGATGAAATATCTTCCCAAGAATGAATCAGTCTTTTCCAACGGTCGAGAAGGAAACCCGCAGGGCCCGTCCTGACAGTAATGAACGGAAGGCGAGAGCGAGACCCCAAGGCCTTGAAGGACAGTACACAAAGGAACGACGGACGGACGACGGGACAGTGCGAGGGAGCGCCTCACACACTAGGATAGACAACTGCACGGGAACTTCAGTCACGGGCCGTAGCCCGTGCAGCGACGAAACGTCTCCGCAAGAGCTTCACGTCTTCATTCTGGTCCTGTTCCAATTTTTAGTTCAACCGTACGGCAATCGTCGAGATCTCAGAAATTAACCGACGTGCGAATTAGGCCTGTCCTTGGCTTTAATTGCATTAAGTCCTTGCATTTTTCCAGCACAATCGTGTCTGTGTATACCATTATAAATTCAAGTACCTGGAAATTGTGAAGAACTTTGGTTAGATTCATCAAATGGTCTCCGATTCAACGGAAGAAAGTTTAGTAATAAAATATTGAGTGAACTAGTAGCCAAGTAGTTTTGATGAGAGATATTTCAGAAAAATAGTTCCACAATATTCAAATGAGACGCACCTAGCAAAACAAAAAAAAACATCCTCAGAGGCCCCCGATTTCGGCTTTTTAACATTTTTCAGCGCTTTCTGTCTATACAACGTTCGCATTTCCAACTACCACGCATAGGATCAATAAAATGCAATGAGCTCCGTCATCAGGGAACCCTCAATTGCACATTTTCAGCAAGTTCCGCCTTTTAAAATTTCATTGAGACACGTCGTCCAGATTTCGAGCGCCCAGAACAAAAGGACATGTCATCATCTCTGGTGACTTATACCTGTAACTAAAAATAAAAATAAAATTCCCGTCAGTGCACAACCCGATCACGTCATTAAATGACCTCACCCTCCGGCAAGCAGCTCCCGGTGGAACGCTCAACCACGAACACGACATCATGGGATGCTAAAAATAACTTCAGCAGAGCAGCTTAAATGAAAGACGCATCAAATGACCTCGAGTTCGGAATCATAGGAACCTGAACGGGCCGAGAAGAAACGAAGTCCGTGAAGCTGAATCCGGCCATCGAGCAGCGATTCGAATCAGGTCTATGATTTCTTCTTTCATGGAGGCTAATAAAATAAATTACCAATGTTCAAAAATTGCAAAAAGTGTATCCCCTTTCTTATGTTAATCTTGCATGTTGTTACATGTCTGCAAAATACTTTTTTCTGTTTGATGGAAATGACGAAGACTCGCTATGTGACGAACGGATAAAATTTCTTGAAGGTAGATAATTTCCCCGATAGGAAAAAACATCAACTTTTTTATTTATTTAAAAAGAATGTGTCATTAACATGGAGCATATGGAAAAAAAACACATCAGTGTCATAGCTGAGAAAAGATCTGCATTATCTGGTCGTTTTACTTTTTTAATTATTATATTCAAAATAATATGAAACTTTGTCATGCATTACTTGTTTCATGTCCATGTCCCATCATCCTGAAAAATAAGCAAAATTTGACATTTTTTTAAAGGCCGATATATATTATGCATAAATTGGTAAACTTGCATTGAAGGCATGATAAAATAAAACAGTTTTTCGGCAAACGCCTTTGATATATTCCTGTTCTCAATCGTTTATAGTTCAAATAACACAAGGTAGGCACGAAGTTCGACCGTAATACCTCCATCACAATATTGGAATATATTATTGGCAGGAAAGATTAGAAGGAGGCTAGATATCGCAAAACACAAGAGGACATCAAACATCTTTTTTTTTAATTTAGAATACTTGCTTTTTTAGAAGAATTTTCTTCTCCGGAGGTACTGAGAAGCAAAAAAATTAATATCCCATCTTGTTACACAGCTCCCTTCAGTGTAAGAATTTTAGTCTAGCGCACAGTGGTGCCTGCACGTGAAGGACTCTTATAGACAATCCCTTCAATCAAGTCCTAGCAGGAGGAGACCTGAGTATAAAAGCCAGGAAAGTCAGGATTCCCGCACCCGACGCCAGTGGATGCGATCCCCACAATGGTGTGCACGCAGCTGTCTGGAGAGGGAGATAGCATCAATGGTCCCACTGAGTTTCCCTGCGAGAAGAAATGCAATGTCATGAACAAAGTTAAGGGAATCAGTTGACATCCTCTCATCGATTGGATGGGAAGCTCGCTTTTACTACCTGGCACGAATCGTTGCCTCCTGTGCCGGCGCATAGGATTCGCCCCTTCACACCATTTTGACACATAGTCCTTAGGCCCTTATACTTCCGAGGCACCTGATCGCAGTCTGATGGTCCCACCAATGGAACACTGACTTTTTGCAAAACACTGCTCGCTCTTCCGCCTGAGAAGGAATACGATGGGTTACAAAAATGCGTTGCAATCATTGTTGCCGCAAACGAAATATGTGCCAACGAAAAGATGTGGTTCCCCATCCAGCAACTGTTAAAATGGTTTTTTTTTTCCCGACGCAGTGATGTTCCTTTCAGTAGGTAAACAGGCTGAGAAAATGGTGTATCGAAAGTGTACTTCCCGATCCAGTCCCAGGAGGGCAATATCGTGGTATTTCTGTAAACCGAAAATATGTTTAACCGGTAATATATATCATAGGAATGTACATGCGGGTGAACTGAAAAATGTTAACCTCAAATACTACCTCACAGGGTAAGAATGAGCTTAGGTGAATAATGAGTCCGTGCACAAATTACATACATGCTTATGTCCTCTCGGAGTTCGCACTTTTCTCCATTTTGGATGAATGACAACCTCAGTCACTTTGTAATCGTATGGTATGCTATGATATGCATCTTTCAGGTCGTCTTCCCCAAGTTTCACCATCAAAGGCAGGCTGAAATGCAGCATTAAAAAAACGTTAAAAATCATGAAATTCAGAAATTCGCAGACCATAGCACTTCCTCGTGAGTCATGACCCACGAATAATATTCGTGACCCACGCGACAATCGACGAGGATGTACTTTTCGATGCAATGGGCAGCTGTGAGAACCCATTTCTCGCTGATTAGGGAGCCGCCGCATTTCCGAACAATTTTCCCATTCGCCAGATTGGCCCCCCCCCCCACGAGTGCCTACCTCATGGAATGAAAAATTAATTAGGTACTTCAAGGAATCACGACGCTAGTGGCATCCTAACATGAAAAACTGCATGCTGCAACCACCCCTTCCTATTCAATATCATGAACGCACTTGAGCAGAAAAATATCATTTCTGAATGTCATTATTGATGGAATGTGGAGAATTAAATTTTAGTTGATGCAAGTATTTTATTATGTGGAAGGAAGTTTCTGCAAAATAATCTCAGAATTGATCAATTGTCAAATATGTCCTTTCCTTTACCTAGTGCAGCATATCCTGCTTACTTTTTTCTCGGTACTTCTTGCATGAAGTTATCGAATTTTAACCCGACCCAAGTTGAAAATCAAGATAGAAGTACATTATTTTTTCATAGTTATAGGTGGAAGTCCACGTCTAAATAGATTAAAAGGCTAGCAGAATAAATAACATCCGGGGGAACCCCTGCTTCTGGAGAAGTATGGTAAAGTACCCAATGATCGACCGGTCCCCAGTGATGGGTAACAGCACATACGAATCCCAACAGTTAAACATCCATCGCTTTTGAAGATCCTGCTTGCAAGAGTGATTTTTTTTTTCTACAGGGAATCGATAAAAACGAGTCCCGACTTGTTCTCTCCAAAATCGTGCACCATTCACGACTCTCTCTCTCACTTTCTCTTCCACTCTCGCGCTTTGCTTATATGAAATGAAATGAAAATAGTGGAATGAAAATGATAAAAATGTAATTTAAAAAATCGCATCTCCGCCCTCTCGGCATCTCTCACCCTTGTGAGACGATTCATAAATTGAAAGAAGTCGGAATGACACCACTTCCGGCGTCCGCATCTGGCTCCTATCGGCTGGATGCCGAATCCACACGTACGAAGCACTGAACCTGGGCATGAGGCCTCCTTACCCAGAAAATCCACGGTCATCGCATGGCGTCTCCCCGCCCTTTCCTTCCAGTGCTCGCGTGGTCTGTGGACGTGTGTGCATTGTTTCAGGGGAGGGACGAATGCGAGGGAGGCTGATTCACTCCGCCCTTATCCCCTCGGGGCGATTTCAAATTGAAAACATTTCCTCGAAGAGCCTTATGCTAATTGTTCTAACCGAGAGAGACGCACTTCCCTCATTCATTTTTCATCATCTCCCTACACTACCCTACCCCCCCCCCCCTCCTATGACTCTCCCTTGCCCCTTTACCCCCTAACTCCTACCCTTATTCCTCTCTTCCCCCACTCCTTAAAACTATTGGAAGTGCTCCCAATGAATACAAAGAAAGAGTAGAGCGTGCGCTTTGGTTCCAGACTTGCATTACATGTGCACCTGCTCGGTCTTTATTTCGTGGCTGACCAACGTCTCCTTATCTGCAAAAAATATATAATGAAAAGAAAATTTATTAGAAGTGGCTCATAAGCAGTGCAAAATATCCACTTGGTCTCTTTCTGACATCTGCCCCACCTCATTATGCGGAATGGGCAATATTTTTCTCCGATAATGCGCTGTTGATGAGGGGCATCGATTAGCGAAACGGTAACAATTCCTCGTTAAGTCATATTCATGGTAAGTCGAGATTCCCTCACGAGTCCCATTAGGAAAACATGGGGCGAAATACGTGACGAGCGATTCCATTCAACAGACTGTGAAGTGACCTCGAGTCTGGCAACCCTGGATCGGGAGTGGAGAGCGGAAACAAAATGCAAGATGCCACATCGCAAGCAGTCCTGAATAAGGATGCCTTCAGTGATGTACCTGTTCCTCCTCTTCCTCGTCTCCCCAATCGGAAGCTTCCCCACTCAGTCGCCCGAGCCATGCCCGTCTGGCCGTGGAGAATGCAGGAGGATGAAGGAGTGTCCCGCAGAAGTGGCAATGTTTAATGAAAATCCTTCCATCTTGCCGTCGCTACTGTGCTCCATGGATCCCTCCGGTTATCCTATGATCTGCTGCAACAAAACACCACCACTCCCAGAAGTCACACGTGAAAATACTGCAATGCGCATCAGCAAAGCTAGTGAGCTTTTCAGTCCCTTATTTCCCATGAGTTCAAAGGTGATTCTTCTCGTTCGAGTCGGCTTTTCCTTCTTTGCTCTGTGCAGAATGCCATGAGTACCAGCTGATGCTGGCCGAGACGAAAAGCTCAGACTGCGAATACCTCCAGCAGCCATTGATCACCGGGGGAACAGCAGCTGAACCTTTTGAGTTCCCCCACATGGTATGGTACATCGCCCATTTCTTCGCCTTTCAATGAGTTCCTTTGCTTTCTTGACCCCAAATTAATTTTTTTTTAATGGAATTCGACTATACCGGCTCTCGTTTGATATAAAACAATATCCCTTAACTTTCATCTTTTGAGATCAACCTGGATCGTTTTCTTAATATTGAGCGATATTTTCTTATAACAAATTGCATTATGCAAACTCTTCGTTTCGTGATGGCGCTTTTCAAGAATTAATTCAGGAGCTATATCATAAAGTTATTTAATTCTGGTTTACTCCAGAAAAAGGGCCCGGAGGAGATGTACCGTACATTTCGCACAGTTCTTGCATTGATTGACGACTGCTGCTTAGGAATATTCACAAATATTAAGCTTTTGGAACACGACCATTGAGATTTGATTTTAGTATTTCATCGTTTTCTCTCATTGTTAGCAAATAATAAATTCTTGAGAGAACGCTTTCGCCACCGTTTTGTATATATATGCTACATATGATATATGCTACATATGATATATGATACATATGATATATGCTACATATGATATATGCTACATATGATATATGCTAATTTCTTTGGACAAATGGATCCCAGCTATCCCTTTTTCTTTCGCTTTCTCAGAATTCCAACATGAATGCGATATGAGCTGAAATATTACGAACTAGAAATGGCTGCTTCAGTTGACCCCATATTTTTTCCGAATCATCTCAATAGATGCTCCAATTTATGGCAGCGAATCCCTTCGTTTTATGGGTAATTATCCTATCGGGTTTCCCAGGCATTCCCCCTGAGTGATCATGGCAGAGTGATATATTTTAACAGCTTTGTCTTAGCTTAACAGCAGGGAATCGCCATTTTCTCGTCGCTCCAAGGATTACGAATGATGAAAGACCTGGACATAAATTACAAATAACTATATAATTTACAGTCCCGATAAAAAAAAACTAAAAAAAACCGACCGGGTCTATCTGAGAAAGGGATCAATATTAACGGTTGTGGTCATGAGTGCGAACTGAACACGTTGGGTCCTATGCACCCGTAAAGTTTATGTTTCACTGATTGATGAAACCATTTTTTTAAATAATAGTTATTCTTTCTTCGATTAGCATTGTGTTAACGATGAAGCAGGTTTGGGAAATCGTTTTCCTCCGTACCCATGAGCATGGTCCCAAGCTTTATTTGGCAGTGGCTGCAAAGCCTGTTGGCTGCTCGAAGTCGACGGCGCATCACTGGGCCGATACGTTCGGCAAGACCGACGGCACGAATTGGGAAAGGGAAGAAAACAGAATACCGAAGGGGAAGGAGGAAGAGCCGATGGTGCAAGAATGTCAGTCGATCGTCCACCGCGCCGCCGACCGATCCATACTTGCACAATCATTGCCATCATAGTATCCATAGCCTCATATGTTTCGCGCGTATTACTGACGCGCGAGATTTACAAGGCTATGCTTCTCTGGGCCATACGCTCGACCACTAAAACCTATGGCACCTGACATATCGGACACCCCGTATATATTGGATGCTGTTTCAGGGGAGTTCGACGCCAAATGACATGCGATAATTCACAGTACATCAGCCATGCTACTTGGCATTTTCCTGCATCATTTGCAATTCTCACATCGGTCGAAATATTTTATTTTCCACGTTCAAGGCTCTTCTGGGCGAGAAGCACGAAAATGGAACCGTGACCTGGATCTGTGGCGGAAGCCTCATCAGCCGCAGATGGATCCTCACTGCTGCCCATTGCCTGTCTTCCGAGTGGGTCCTAGTCCTTTAACTTATGAGTCGGGAGTGAATTTTACTTCCTGCAAATGTGTTTTTTTTTTCTGTGCAGCCTCGTAGGAGCATCTGATATAAATAGATGCAAGTTTTAATCGGGGAAGAAAAAATACATGAAGGCTATATTAAAACACTATAGGGAATGTTCACATTAGTGTTCGCTCAAAAGTATGCATGTGCATCGGTTCTTAAGCTCATATTCTCCCATAGTTATATATTTATGATCGAAAAAAAAGTCCAAATTCGCACGAGGCTTTTGATTTTCAGGGAGTTTTTTCCTATTTATTTCTGTTTTAATTATGAGAGGTCTTGTGAGGCTTCGATAGGCAGTCCCAGACTTCCAAATCTTTAAATGGCATATATTTATGCTCACGTTCCAACTTTTTCAAAGATGTCTCGTGCATACATTCACATTTTTCTTAATATCTCCATGAGCAGACATCGCCTCCTCTCAAATCCTGATTTTAAAAAACCGCGCCCTCTCCTCTGGTTTCAGCAAAACCTTGGTGGTGAGACTCGGTGAACACGACTTGGAAGATGAGGCGGACACGATCCCAGATGATTACGCCGTTGATGAGATAGTCATTCATCCCGATTGGAGAAAAGATGGATTTTTAATCGTACAAATATTCATATGAATTAATAACCGTATATATTAGTCTAAATTAAAGGAAAATATATATGTACGAGGGTTACCTGGTAAATAATGCCCTCTTAGTTATAAATTTCTTGACATTCCGGCTATTTTAACAGGATTTTTAGAATATACCTTTCTCTTCATTGCTCCACATACATGTCCTGCAAATTTTCTTTCTCTGTTTCATGAGCAAGAAATAAGCGTGGTAACAAGCACTATATTTCGTTAACTACCTGTGATTTAATTTTTTTGTAAAGTCCTGTGACAACTGTTCCATCCCCAGTTTCCTGGAAGCTTGCTGCAATGCAAAGGCAGTAATGCCTGGAGAAGGATTTTCATCAGGAAAGTTGTGGACACCAACCTTACAGATAAGCCTCGGAGTGGATGCAGAGCTTCAGGACGTGTCCAACAGGTCGCTGCAGGTTTTTATTAGGATGAGCCTCGTTTCTTTCCTCATCACATCCGAAACCCACCCTGCAATGATTTTCCGGCATTCAAATAAATGAATCACCTCTTGTATAGAAACCTCCGGTCATTGCTGACATCAATCGCATCCATGCGTCGTACCAAGCTTCCCGATCGATTGTGGTGGAACTGTTGTCACCTGAGTTCGCAGGGAATTTAATTATGGATTCTTGACTAAATCTTGTTTCCTTGTTGCGATCGTTTCTTGAAAGAAATGAAGAAAAGTTGTTGAAAAGGTGTGCGGAGCAATGTTGAGGGAAAATATATACCAAGTCTCGTTTAACTAGCCCGACGTTTAAGAAACGTATAACTAAGAAGACATTACTCATCGGACAACCCTTCTGTTTGTAATCGTATACGTATAGTTATAAATCGGCTTACTCACTGTACATTTATGTGATCTAGAGAGTAACATTTCTGGTCATAACATGCATTTAAAAACATATCTAACGACGTTTCAGCAGAAAAGGCTGAAGTGAACGGCATTCATTGAAACCTAAGGAAAAAATGAATTTCCACGAAACGTAACACAACTGTTAAATATGAAAACCCATAACTTTGGTTTTGCATTTTTTCTTTAGATGCAAGAAAGTCTAAAATTGGCGTATTTTGTAGTTATTATGTAGTACATTGTAGTTATTATGCTGCCCTCCAAAAGTACTTATTCATGTTGGATCGAAATTCTCAACACCGATAGCATCTTCTGCAAAAGTATTTATGCCATCGGACAGCTTTATCTGTTACCTTCACAAAGCGCCCACTCACGGCATGATTTGTGCCATCGTTTGTTTGAAATTCGCCCCAGAATCCGTCTGGTTCGTTTTTTCAGCTTGGAAAATTTAAATGGTTGTAAAGAAAACTTATCTCCTAGCATTGTTGGCTTTGTGATCGCATGCTCGTGATCACACTCACCCCATCGTGATCACGATCGTGATCACGTTCGTGATCACACTTACCCCATCGTCGAGGTAAGAATGATTACGAACAGGGTGTTGACGTGTGCAAAATTGCTTTATTTTATGTGCCATAGATTAGTTTAGCTATTCATTTAGCCATTGAAAAATGAAACGCTGCTATATTTTTTAACTGCTTTTACCCTTATGACATTATACGTGGGTCATCCCAAAAGTTCGAGAACATTCTATTCTACATCAAGTTGAAACACCAAGTGCAGCGTTATTCCAAGTGAACTTTCTCAATATACTGCCCGCGCAGCTACACACGCTTCTGCTACAGTTCCATCAGCTTCTCGAGTCATACAGCAAACCAGTTTCCTGGGGTCACTTGAACCCACTGGTTCACAGCGGGAGCATGCTCCAACCGTGCTCCAAGTCAGGTCGCCCTAGGCGAATCATCCACTGGAAGCCATTCTGCTTCAAAGCGATGCATCCACTTATATATGACACTTTTCCTGAAAGGTCTGTCACTCTAAACTTCTTGCAGCTCACGACCTGAGACTTTTTCTATTTCCACAGAAACCAAGCCCAACCCTATCATATTCTTACGTAATGGTAAAATGTAGGTCTACTTAAGAATGAGATATCTCTGCAACGGGAAGGAGCAGTTACATGAGCATTATTACGTTAGCGCCATGAGACATCAGTATGAACACCATAAGACCGTTGCTGCCAGATCGCATGCAAATAAAATTTTCACATTTGTTCTCGAACTTTTGGGATGACCCACGTATAATCTAAAAAATATTGGTCACCTCGTTTGCAATAATGGAAACGGAAAACGTCACGATTGTGATGGAGTGTGACTTGATTTAGTACTTATTTTTAAAAAAGGATGAATACGAGAACCCATCTTTTTAGAAAAATGTTCATTCTAAAGATGCAGGGAAGGGCGGAATTGGGGCAAGGGTGAAATTGGTGCAATGTCTCTAACATTGTAGTTAATATACTGCATATACAGTATATAACGTACAAGCATAGGTCACCCAATGCTTACAATGATAGAATCGGCAAACATGACACTTGTGTGATGATTGCAGATGGGTCGCAAGTGGAGTGTTCTGAAAATTTATTTATAAGCGAAAGGTCTGAATATATATTTAAATCCTCACTTTAAATCATCACTCAAATGTAAATATAATTCACATCTCTCCCTTTTTGGCTTATTTGAGATCGTCACTCAGCATAAGAGAATCCATAAAATCATATACTCCAATAGTCCTATTCAGTCTCTGTAAATTTCCGTTTCCATCAATGGGCGCGGTGGTGGCACTAAAATATATATACTGTATATATACCACAACTTCCATAATTTTTAAAAAGAAAACTATCCTTCATTCATTCCTTGAGGGATTGGAGATAATGACATTTTGGATGAAATGGAATGCTTCTAATTTAGAGAATTTTAAGAGTAAGGCCCTTAGAACCGCTGGGCTTAGATAGACCCAAATGCTACTTTTTTCACGAATAAATATTGCTCAATTGCTAAGCACGTACTTATAATTATAATTCCATAATAATGAAAGGTATAAGGCATTAAGTCTTGAGTAAACCTAACCGGAGAGCCTCTCTTGCCACGGAAAGAGGCGTAATAACATGAAAATAATTTTTTGTTGTTCGGTTGCTTGTTAGGCTTACCACGATATTGCTCTATTGAGACTGGATAACGATGTGCCTATTCGGTCCATCATATACCCAGCGTGTCTGCCGACTGACAAGGACATTCCGCCACCAGGAACCCCATTAGTTGTGGCCGGATGGGGAAGATTGTTTTTTGGTACGCATTTATTCCTCACGTTATCAAAAACAATGGAGGGAAAAGTTACCTCGCTGATGGATTGTTTCTTTGCCAGATAAGAACAGAGCAACAGTTCTGCAGAAAGTAACAGTTCCATTGAACGATACGCTCGAGTGTGATCGCATGAATAAGTTTATCATCGTGAGAAAGAACTATCCGAACGGAATGAAGGGGCAAGTCCTCTGCGCAGGGATTGAAGGGAAAGACTCGTGCCAGGTAATGAAAGACTTGGCGAAGTAATGGGAACTCTGTCCTCCATCAAATTCTGCTTTCACTTGCAGGGAGACTCGGGCGGGCCGCTGATGCTCCCTCGGAATGCAAGTAGCTGCGTGAACTACGTGTTGGGGACGGTGTCTACAGGCGCTGGGTGCGGAGCTCAGGGTTTTCCGGGCTTCTACACTAATGTTCCCTTCTATTTGGACTGGATTGAGGAGACCGTCTGGAAGAATGACCCATGAGTGCTGGAGATCTGTGCTCTGGACAGAAAGCCGCAGTTGCAACGGCTTTCATGAAAAAGAATGAGCCTATTTGACTTCAAGCCTCAGAAAACATTGTTCTTCCAAAGCTACCATTCAAAAGGAAAAAAAATGAATAATAAGTAACGGAATGTAAATAAAACACTTTCCACAATAATTGTTATGGTCAGATCCATATTTAAAAATATTAATGTCAGGCATGCATTAGTAAATATTAGCTATTATCAATCATAACAATCTTGTGAGTTTCTCAATTCCCCATTAATCAATTTGTCGCTATTTCAAACGTTCACGTTTAACAGTAAAAATCTTCTAGATAACCGTTTCTAGCTATTAGTGCGACCCTATAGCCGTTATTAAAATTGGATTAATTAACATGTTTCCTACGTTACTATTCATTCCACTCACTTGAAACTCTAATGGATTTCATGATTTGCTAGTACGAGCTTGTGTATTAAATGTGATCAAAATCGTTCGAAACCTTCTTGGTTGTGGTTTTTTGACGATGAGCATATTTCATGTTCTTCGGCATTTACTCAAGGTGCAACGGTGACTACAAGAAGGATTCCAGATTTCATTGGCATTTTTTTTTAACTTTGAAATTGCGGAATGAATAAAAAAAATCATTTCGCCTAAATAAGTTATACGCATATTTTTATTGCATACATTCGACATGGGTTGCATTCAAAGCTGCAGTTCAATTGCAGTTGAACTATAGTCCGAAGATGGTCCCAGTTTGGTTGCAGTTGCAGTCGACTGGAACTACGACTGGACTTCGAACAGACTGAGATTTTAAAATCAATCTCCAGTTCCTGTTTGACTGCAGTTGGATTATAGTCAGACTGCAGTTGCCACCCACCTCGGTTACTACTCTGTTCAACTGCAGTCAGATTGTGGTCCAACTATTTGTTGACCCTTTTCTAATTTCATCGGACGCTTTTGATCTAATCGAAACAGTTCGACACCAACCACAGATCGACGTCATGTTCGTGGTTCAGTTCCTCACTATGCATGTGTTCTGCTGCATACATCGCTGCCTTAGGACTCAATCGCACGCGGGGTGCTCCATTGCCACGATATGTGGCAGATGGAGGGGAAGGATCGAGAAAGTTGTGTTCCCTCACGGAAGCTCAGTTCCAAGAGCTGGATGGCGAATTTCGCGCCTGGAGGCAATTTCATCATCCAAGTTGCGATCGTGTGACGAGCGAACGAATGGTTGGGACGTTCCTCTATTACATGTCGGGTGGTGGTTATTATTGCCAGACTGCAAGATCCCAAGAGATTGCGGTGTCTACCTGCTTCTTTCATCTCCGACAAGTAGTGAATTATCTCTGTTGCGTCGCATCCCAATACATTCAGCTACCGAGTCAGCAAGAAACTGCCACAGCTGCAGATGAGCCAAATAGTTAATCGACAGGCAGTTCTAACAGTGGATGGCTACATTTCCCATATCCAGAAGCCCGTCAACTCAGAAAATGCATACTTCTGTGGGAGAGCAGGGAAACAAGTTCATTCTCTCAAAGCACAATATGCTGTGGACAAGTGGGGATGCATTCGCCATGTGGTCGCTGGAGTGCCCGAAAGCAGCCACGATAAGACAACTCTGGATTGGAGCTGGCGTTTGGAGCTGGCTGGCAGTAATGTCGTCAGTCGCTCCAGTAGTGTTGTTTGACGATCCAGCAATTTCGTTTGACGCTTTAGAGTTTCTGTTTGGAGTTTGATGTGGAAATCTTAATCCATCTTCTTCTTGTGAAGCCGCTGTTCTGGATCAGATATTCCTCCAAGATTTTAGGATCTATACAGGATCTATTCGAAATGAAGAAGGAAAAAAGTCAACCGTGTGGAAGTGGTATGTGGTATGATGAAAATAAAAAGGGGATAGTGTGGACGTCATATGAAACTCACCTGAAAGTAGGTTGGGCGTCTTTTGGAAATTAACAAGTGGAGTTCTGGTTCCAGCTGAACTTTCATCGATAATCACGGCAGGCTTGATTGATGAACTTTTTGGGTGATGGAGGGACTCATATTCTTCCGCAACTCGGAAAATTACCGCCGATCCCTCTACCGTCCACTCTTTGTCTAAAGGAGCGGAAATTCCCGACTTCCTTGCCCCCGGCAAGGAAGTCGGTACTTCTACAGGTACTTCTACAAGTACTGGCGGTACTTCTACAGAACGTTTTCAATTCTGAATTTGATGGATTTCCCCTCTCCCCATGGTCGTGGAGTTCCTTGAAGATGACGTTAGAGTAAAATGTTTCAACTTTACAATCTCGCTTGCACTTCAAGTACAGTGTCTTGTTTTCCATTGCAATGGCAAAGGCAAGCAAC